TCCAGCCATGTCTCTCTTTTTTTTTAATTGAATCATCTTGAGATACAGTTACAAAGTTGGGTTTCAGTCATACAATGTTCCAACACCTGTCCCTTCACCAGAGTCTATTTCCCACCACCAGTGATCCCAGTTTCCTTTCTGCCTTCCATTCACTGTCATAGTGCTCCCTTCTCTATCCTAATTGCTCTCTCCCCCAACCTCCTGCTCACCACCACTTGTGGGAAGCCTCCAACCGTCATGGGCCAGTCTTCCTGGCCCTTGTTTCTACTGTCCTTGGGTAATAATCTCAATTTTTACATCCCACAATGAGTGCAATTATTCTATGAATGTCCCAATAGGTGTCTTGTCCCAAATTCCTCTAATCTCACAGGCACAATCCATCTAATCTCTTCTGATCACCCTACTCAAATGCCTTCTGAGTCTCTGCTCAATCTGACCTTGCAGTAACTGTTTGGCTTTCAGAGTAGCTCTGCCTTTTCCTAGCCCCATGTCCAGTCTCACACCCTCTCCCTGAGCTCCCCGTTTCTCTGGCCAGCAGAGCAAAGGCATTCCTACCTGTGCCCCAGCTCTCCTTTGGCCATGCCCAACCACAGTCCAACTCCTGAACCTGTGACACTAACAGCTAAACTCTTCACTGGGCACTTTCTTTAGCTGGTCTTTGTGCAGTTGATTCTCCCCCATCCCACCCTAGTTTCTCTGCTCTCTCCTAACTGCACCTCCTTGTTAGCTGCACCCCATTTTCTCTCCTGCCTTGTAGAGTCCTCCTGTTTCTAGCACGGTCCCTGGGTCATGCTTCCTTTTTTTTTTTTTTTTTGATGGGCGGAGGGGGGCACACACCTGGTGATGCTCAGGGCTTACTCCTGACTCTGCACTAGGGGAATTACTCCCGTGGTGCTCAGGGGACGGGATCATATGGGATGCCGAGGATCGAACCCTGGTCGGCCCGTGCAAGGAAAGTACTCTACGGGCTGCAATATCTCTCCAGCCCTCTGGGCAGCGCCTGTTACATTTTCAGTATCTTTCCGGGCCCATCCTGAACCCAGTTTTCCAAGGGCCCGCCCACCTGTCTGCAGTACTCCAGCACGCGCTGCGGGTCGTGGAGACAGCCCCGTGAGAGCTGCGGGTCAGGCTCCCAGCGGCCGGTTCGCAGGTCCCGGTGAAGGGTCAGATGTCCACACATTCCAGCCACCTGAGCCGAACCTGGAGCCTGCAGGTGAAGGTCCAGGGGATGAGGGAAGGCCCCGGGGCACACTGGCTGGAGGATTTCCCGCTTCTTTACTCCCTAGGATTCAGGGAGCTCAGAATCCCGGTATCAGCCCCCCGCCCCCAAGCCCCGAGCACCCACTCGCCTCTGCGGTGGTACGGTTCCCCGGGAAACAGCTCCCACCGGGCGGGAGCGTCCTAGCTCCCCCGTTGCTATAGCGACCCGGGTCCCTCGGGATTCTCGCGGCCTTGTTGCCGCGGAGACAGGCTCCGCCCCCACCGGGGCGCAGCCGCGCCGGAGCGCCAAGGGGTTAAATTGGAATCGCGGGGGAGGCGGGTAGAACCCCTGGTGTCCGGGCCCCTCTTTCCTCCATCCCTAGCTCAGGCTCCCATTCCCGGGTGCAAAGGCGGCCAGGCCTGGTTTGAGGGCCCCTCCAGCCTGAGCACCGAGTCCTCCAGGGATGAACAGCTACACCTTGGGCCGGGGCAAGGGTGGGAGGGTGGCCGAAGGCCTGGATTTCAGCGTCCTGCGAAGCTGCAGGGACCTCAGAAGGATGCGGGGGCGGGCGGGGGGGGGGGGGGTTGGATTCTTGAATCTAGGTGCCTTGCTGCATCGTCCGGTGGGTCCTCTGTTCAGGTGGTCAGGGGCTGGGGCTGAGTCACCCATGTTGAGAGGATCTGGGGCGGGGACGGGGGCGCACTCCTGGCATCTGAGGCCCTTGAAGAGCCCGTGCCTATCTAAGGTAGGCGCAGGAGGGGGTGGGGATGACAGATGATGGGGGAGCTGGGGCCTGAACTCCTGGGTTCATCGATGCCTACTGCGTTTCGGGGCGCCTGGGGACCGGCCATCTGGCTGCAAAGACGGCGCTTTCTGCTCTGGACAGGTCCGCGCTGGGTCCATAGGCCCGGTCGCGCCCCTTCCCCCACCCCCCCAAGGACCGGGCCGGGCCTCACCTCGGCCGCGCCGGGGCTCCCACCGGCCGGGCTCCCGACGGCGAGCTGCGCGCGCAGCAGCAGCAGCAATAGTGGCAGCAACAGCGGCAGCGGCGGCGGGCCCCGGCGGCCGCCCGGACCGCGGGCGGCGGGGCTGGCGGGCCCCATGTCCCGACCCTCGCGCTCTCACGTCCCCTGCGCTCCCGCCCGGCCCCGGCGGTGACAGGAGCTCCCAGCACCACCGCCGCCGCCGCCGCCGCCGCCTACCGCCGCCGCCCCCGGGCTGCGCCGGCGCCGCCGGCCCCGCCCCGCGCCGGCTCCGCCTTCCTCGCCCGGACAATAGCGTTGGCAGCTCTGCGCAGACCCGAGCAGCTCGGGCACCCCGGGGGGAGCCTGCGCCACGCTCGCCCCCTCGAGGCTCCAGTTGTCCAGTCCACGCAAGCTCCTGCTCTGGGGTCTGGGGCGTTCTGAGTCCTCCCTCGGGTCCCTCGGCACCACCAGCTTTTTGCTCGGACCCAGACAACTACAAATCAGTTTCCTCTTTTTCCAGCAATACCGGTTTTTGGACATTCTCTCTCTCTCTCTCTCTCTCTCTCTCTCTCTCTCTCTCTCTCTCTCTCTCTCTCTCTCTGTCTTCTCTCTGAGATCATTCCTCTCTCTTCTCTCTCTTTTCCCCCACCAGTGCCCTTCCCCAGCAGATCTGGAGTGAAAAGCTGAATACTAAGCTCCAAGCTCTTTCTCCCTAAGTGCCCCGGACCCAGGCATTTGACTTTAATCCTGATCTCAAGGATCCACGGATCTGATCTCTCCCAGGTTCTTTTTTAAGAAGGAGCAGTTGATGGGGCTGAAGTGATAGTATAGCGGGTAGGGCATTTGCCTTGCAGGTGGCTGACCTAAGTTCAATGATCTCCAGCATCCCATCCAGTTCCCCAACCATCAAAGCAGGGTCAGGAGTAACCCCTTGAGCATTGTCTCCCCCTACACAAAAAATGGAGCAGTTGGTTACCCAGTACTTGGTCCATCTTTGCCTGGTTTGGTCCAATACCTCCGCACAAGTGACTGGACATTCATGGGTGCTCTAAGGATTAGGGTTCCTCTATCTTCCCACTCCTTGGTCTCCTTCTCTGTCTCCCCTGAAGAGCTCACTGTTTCCTCAACTGTCAAGAGATGAATTTGGAGTCGGGGGTCCCATGTATATACTCATGACCATGTAGACATATAGTAAAAAGGCCAGAGGTGGAACCAGGGTTGGAGAATGCCTTGTATGCAGTTGGCCTATTTGGTCCCCTGCACCGGGTGGTCTTTGTTTGAGTCCTATACCCAAAAAAACACAGAAAGCAATGATCTTTGTAGTATAAAGTTTTATTCGGCACAAGTCAAGCAAGCGTTGAGTTCAGAAAGCTGAGAAAACTGACCAGTAGTTAGGGATGTCCCCTCCTTCGTTCTCAAACCCTTTTTATCCCTGATTCCTGCATGTTGCCCAATTCTTGGTGGTCTAGCTAACTTCCTGGTGACCTCTTACTTGATTGACTGCCTCCAGCTGGTTTGTGCTGGGTAAGTGCCATGTCAAGCTCCTATTGGTTGTTACCATCTGGGGGTTCATGTCTCATCTGTTTCTGAGGACTGGCCGACCATAGGTTTCCACATCCTGCGGTGCATCAGGGTTTCTAGCTAACTCTGTAATCCTGAGATATGCCTCAAGGCCATGGTCATCGCTGTACAAATTTTCCATTATGCAAGCTTTGGGTACAGAATGACTGCTACTTAAAAATGGTGGTGCTTGTACTATGCTGAATAATACCTATTTTCTCTGGCAGTTGTGGGGAAGGCCCCACAGTCTCCAGAATATCTCCTGGGGCTTCCCTGGAGGTCCCTGCTCCAAGCCCCATACCACCAAGGTGACCTGGGTAATCTCCACACCCTAGAGCCCAGGCAGCAATGTCTCCTTAGATTCTCATATTGAACCACCGATTGACAGAATTGCTGGGAAGGATCCCAGACTCCCTGAGCACTACTTGGGAGCATCTCCCTGAAGAAGAGGCTGGAGGCCTAACCTGGAAGCCTGAGCCTGAGGGGTAGTGCATGGTTTGGCTTCTACAGCCACTCTTAGCTCAGGAAAGAGGAAGGATCTCAGAGCAGGCTCCAGGGATTCCTTCCTTGATACAGTAATCCTAGGAAAATCCCCAAAACACTCCATTTATTCAACATTTTAAAAAATTAAACATAGATATTCTCACCCTGAGATTCCTCCCACTCCTACACCCTGTCTTGTACTCACTCCTTGGGTCCAATTCCTTCAGGCAGATGGAAGGAATCAAGTTGGTGGTCATCTTGGGTTCCAAGGGGGTGAATAGACCTGGATCCACTGCCATTGGGAAAGCAAAGTGCCCCTCTAAGAGAGCCAGGAGACCACTTGTTTGGCCTTTATCTGAATCTTTCCTCTGTAAACTTCCTTCTCAATGAATGTGGTCATCTTGGATTATTGCCTTCAGCTGGGAAGACAGCTTTGCCTGTGGGAGGCGCAGTTTCATCCCTGGTACCCTATGGTCTCCTGAGCGCCAGAGGAACAACTCCTGAGCACCATGCAGGGAGTAGCCCCTGAGCACTATATGATGTGGCCCCCCCAAAAAAAATAAAGGAAAGAAGAGAAAGAAGAAAGGAAGGAAGGAAGGAAGGAAGGAAGGAAATTTCTTCTTTCAGTGTCTGGAAACAACACTTTTGGTGTCTGGAAAGCCCCACCCCCAAAGCACCTTCACCCCTTGTCTTCATTCCTCTGCAAAGGGTTCATTGTCCATCTTAAATCTCATACACATGGAACAGGTAGGCACGGGGGGCTACCTTACTCCCGTTGGGGGGATCCCTTTGGCTGAGATGATCCAGATTATTGTAACCATCTTTCCCTCCCTCTCAGCAATGTTCAGTTTTGGAGGAGTAAGATCATCAACTCGTGGTTCCTTAGAAATCAGGACAATCCATGGTGGCTAAAATTCTTCAGTTGAGGGGATGTCACACATGAGTCTGGAGACGAGAGTGACCTGGTGTGGGAAAGACTGCATACGGGCAACAGGGAGGCCCTGGGCTCAGATCTGGGAGCCCAAAGGATGTGGGTTTGATGTAGTTGATAAAAGCTTGAGGCTGCGGCCGGGGTAGAGTGAGAGAGCCTGCTGGATCTCTGTATGGCCTGCACTGGGGCACCAGCCGGGACGTGGTCAGATAGCTGGTCCGGTCTCGGTAGGGTCTGCACGGGGGGATCGGATTGTGTGTGGGGAGATAGTTTGTGTCTGCTCTGTGCTGTCTTTGCAGGAGGTCCATGGCAAGAGGCGGGTTGAAGTCATGGTAGGTAGGGGTTCCTGGAGGTCCCGGGGGATTGGGAGATGGCAGGAAATTTCCTTCTCCAGATGCTTCACCCAGGCTTGGGCTCACACTGACGCCTCGAACCTTGTAATAACCATTGGTTGGGTCCTGAAGGGACAAATGGGATTTGTGAGGGGGTGAAGGTCACTGAAGGAAAGATGCTGGGGGACCGGAGTTAGGGTGGTTGCCTAACAGCAGTTAGGGCAGTTGCCTTGCACACGGCCAACCTGGATTCTATTCCCAGCATCCCCTATGGTCCCCTGAGCCAATCAGAAGTGATCCCTGAGTGCAGAGCCAGGAGTAACCCCTGAGCACAGCTGGGTGTAGCCCAAAAATAAACATTAAAAAAGATGCTAGGATCTAAAGACCTAAAATCATAGTTCTTTGAGAGCAAGGCATAAAGCAAAAAAGCAATTACCATTAACTTATATGGGAAAAAAATGTTGATATCCCTCAATACTTTCCTAATTACACCAAAGAACACACAAAATCTAAAAAAGCACTAGTCAAAGCAGAAATACGATAGCCAGTCTGCACAAAGTATTTCCCAGGGAAGAAATTTGTTGGCCCGCTTACTGTGGCTCATTGCCCCTAAAAAGGCTGTTGAAAAACAAATGCTAGGCTGGAGAAATAGTACAGTGGGGAAGACTCTTGCCTTGCATGAATCTGACTCAGGTTCAATCCCTGGCACCCCATATGGTGCCTTGAACCTGCCAGAAATGACACCTGAACACAAAGCCAAGGAGAAAGACCTGAGTACCACTGGGTGTGACTCCAAAACCAAAACCATAACAATAATGCTGAACAAAATTTAAAACGTTTTTTTTTTCTTTTTTGGCTTTTTGGATCACACTGGGCAATGCCCAGGGGCTATTCCTAGCTCTGTATTCAGGGAATATGTGATGGCAGGGATCAAACCCGGGTTAGCCACGTGCAAGGCAAAAACCCTACCTGCTGTACTATTGCTCCAGCCCCCTTAGAATGTTTTCTTTTTGCCTTCTGTGGTCAAGGCAAAAATCCTCTTCAGATTTCTTTTGGTTTACGAGAACAAGTCATAATTTTTCTTTCATAAAAGCACAGTGGTATAATTGAAACAGTCAATGAATAGGGAATTCCTACAACAGGCCAGTGAGGAGGTGGAAGGGTAGAAGGAGAGGTAGAAGAAACAAGAGAGATTGAGACCAAGACATTCATTCAACATCCCAGGAGCCTTGAGGCTTTGATTTGGCGTCAGATCCTGGGCTGTGGCAGCAGAGGTGTGGGATCACCAGGCCCCTGGCTCTTTTCTCATGAAGATCCAGGCCGAAGGGTGTAAAAGGCAAATCACCAGAGTCAAAGCCAGTCTAGAGGCATCAGGGTTAGATGGGGAAAGCCTGGCACTAGGTGGCAGAAACCCGGGAAATTTTGATAGGGCTTGATGGGAAAGCACAGGAAGAATGACTGGGGCTGTTCTGGGACAGTCAGGCAGAGTGGACATAGATGTGGTCAGTGAAACACAGATGGGATGGTCAAGGCTGTAAGGAGGGAGGCATGGACTTTTTGGAACAAAAAATGTCTGTACTGAGATCAGAGAAGAGATGGAGGAGAGGAGGTAGAGAAGGGGAGAAAGGAGAGCTTCAGGCCAAGAGACCAGCATGTGCTCAGTGCAGAAGACAGAGAAGGGCTCTGGTCTGGGAACTGGAGTTGTGTGGGACTATCCTGAGATGGATGAAGGTTTAGGCTCAAGTGAGGTCTCTGTGGGACCTGGTAGGGTGGAAGGGGCCTGGGAAAGTCAGCCAAGTGAAACATCCAGGAGGCCTAAAGGGACAAGGAAGGCGCAAACTGAGTGATCCTGTTCTGGACCAAAGACAGGCCATGGACGGGAGCAGTGTGGGCATTCAACATATACACAAACAGGAACTGTGCATGTGGTGTGATGGCCTGGAGGCAGGAAAAAAGAGATGGCAAGGGTTAGGTCCCAGCTTTGAGGGTAGAAGAACAGAAAAGGAGGAAAGGAAATGGAGAAGGAGTTGGAGATGCAGAGAAGGGAACCCCCCTGTTCCCAATACTCACCTTGTTCTCCAGAGTCCCCTTCTCCAGGACCAGGTCACTGTGGTCTATGTGCATCGGGGTGCCCTAGTGGGAGATGCTCCATGAGAGAACGTGGTCAGAAGACCCTCCTGCTCTAGTGTCAGATACTGAGATGGATATTGGAGCTGGGGGACATTTGGGTCAGGGGTAACTCTTGGAAAGTGTGCTGGTACTGGGAGTGCGTACTGGGGTTACATTTGGGTTTTCTGTTTGTTTTTAGTGTTTGGGCTATATCCAGCTCTGCTCAGGGCTTACTCCTGGCTCTGTGCTCAGGGATCACTCCTGGCGGGGTGACCATATGTGATACTGGAGATGGGATTTGGGTTGCATTCATGCAATGCAATTGGCTTCACCCACTGAACTATGGCTCCAGCCCCTGGTTTGTTTGTTTATTTTGTTGGTTAGTTGGTTGGTTATTTGGTTGGTTTTGGGGCCACATCCAGCAGTGCTTAGGGATTACACTTGGCTCTGCACTAAGAGACGATTCCTGGAAGTACTTGGGGGACCATGTAGGTGCCAGGGATCAACCCTGGACCAGCTTCATGCAAGTCAAAGTGCCTTCCCACTGTACTGTCCCTCCAGCCCTCTGGATTACACTTTGGTTCTGGAGGTACTTTGGGTCTGAGACCCCATGATCCTACCTGTTCTCCACTGTTGCCCATCGTCTCCTCCTCTTCCTGGTCTCTCGAACTGGAGGCATCACTGCTGCCTGGGATTTGCACCGTGTTCTTTTGCTTTGAGAAAGAAGCTGCGGCCAAGGACAGGTGAGGGGGAGGGCAGAGGTAAGTGATGGGCAGGATCATAGCTGGGGGAGACCCAGAAGCAGGAAAAGAGAGGGCCAGGATGGATCATGTAGGGTGGCTGGAGAACCCAGCCTCGAACGACAAGGAGTATGTCCCTGAGAAGAATAGAACTGGGGCTCCAGATAGGAATCAGGGCCGAAAAGGGAGTCCAGCTCTTTGCTGGGTAGAGAGGGGTCCCAGGGGCCGAATTCCAAAGCAGGGCCAGAGGTGGGGCTCAGGCACTGACCTTTGCCATGGCGACAGAAGCAGAGGAACAAGCCAGTGATGGTCATAAGAAGGGCCATAGCCGCGGCCACTCCTCCAGACACAATCTGCAGAAAGGGCACCGCGGCTGCAGGGAGAAGAGAGGTGTCCTGGGGATTCTGAGCAGGAGACTGCAGAGGAACTTCAGGTAGGGGTTCAGAACTCATGCTGGAAACCTCTAGATGCGAAAATAGGCACCCTTGGGGATCCCCAAGGCTTATCATCCTTTAGCTTGAGATCCCTGAGTTCACAGGCTTCCAAAATTTGAGGTGACATAGATTGAAACTCCTTGGCTCAAGGGAATCAGTTTTAGGGAAGCACACCTAGCAGTGCTCAGGACTTATTCCTAGATGTGCTCAAGGGTCCACTGGTGGACTCAGTGGACAATATGGGATGCTGAGGATCAGACCTGGGTCAGCTGTGTGCAAGGCAAACACCCTATCCGCTGTACTATCCAGCCTACTCTAGGGAATATTAAAGTTTCAGAGGGTCTTTGACCTTGCCATCCCCCATATTTTGGGATCCCTTTCTCTGGAGTCTCTAAGTGTAGGAGTCTCTCAAGGTGGGTAGGATTCTGTCCTCGGGGCTGGAGCGATAGCACAGCGGGTAGGGCATTTGCCTTGCACGCTGCTGATGCAGGTTTGCTTCCTAGCATCCCATATGGTCCCCTGAGAGCCACCAGGAGTGGTCCCTGGGTGCAAAGTCAGGTAAGTAACCCCTGTGCATCACTGGGTGTGACCCAAAAAGCAAGAAAAAAAAAAGGATTCTGTCCTTGGAGGGAATTGATTATTTTGAGGTCACAGGAGTCAAGGAATTCACAGTTTTGAGGGTTCCCAAGGTATGGAGTCTTTGACCGGAATGGCAGTTTAGGGGTTCAAAATTTGAGATACAGGGGCCTGCAGCCCAGTGGTCTCACCTCTCCCATCCAGGCTGACCCAGGCGCCTCCTTCTCCTAGCCGGTTCCGGGCAGTGCAGTTGAAGCCTTGCTTAAAGTCAGATTCCCGAGTGTGGGAAATGTGGAGCACAGAGATCAGGCCGGGGCCCCGTTCTCCACTGCCCTCCGGGGCCGGGAATGTCTCCACCAGGAACCGGCCCTGTGATCCTGCAGCTAGGAAGCCATCATCCCAAGACCAGACCTGGGGTTGAATGGGGGGAGGGCACAAATGAGGGAGATCAGAGGGTAGGGAGGCAGCTGGCAGGGTATCGAGAAAGTCAGAGGAAGACACAGCAGTTTTAAGGGTCGAGATGACAGGTCGGGGGCCATGATAGGTCGTGATGGGGAGTTGAGTGGACAACTCCTTACCACGGCTTCTGGGAGCGGGGAGGCGAAGACTAGACACTGGAGGCGCGCGGGACCCATCAGGAAGGCAGGTGCGGAACTCAGAGCAGTCACAACAGGGGGAGCTGGTTTGGAGATGGTGGACCCCTCAGAGGAGCGGCTCCTGGCCCCCAGGGAGTCCACGCTCTACGGCGGGGGCGGGGCGCAGGCCGCGCCGTTCTGCCCATCTTCTTCGCGAGTCCCCGCCCACCGCGCTAGACCACGCCCCCTCGGTGGCCGTTTTCTCACCGTTCACGGTCAGCCTGATCTCCGCGGTGCCTCCCCCGCGGCCCGAGACCCCAGGCTCGGCCCTGCACACGTAGTCGCCTGCATCTTCGGCCTTCACCGACGGAATAAGCAGCGTGGGCCCGGTCGCCAGCACCTGGGACGGAGGAGGGGCGTCAAGGTTAGGACGCGGCCGGGCGCCGGGGGACACTGCCCACCCCCAGTCGCAACTCGGGCTTCACCTGCACGGCCCCGCGCCGGGTCCAGGTCACCCGCGGGAGCGGGTTCCCGCGCCAGGCACAGCTGAAGGAGGCGTCTCCCCCCACGTCTACGGACACGGGTTCCGGCTTTGCCTGCAGAATCGGCCCGACTGCAGGCGAGGAACGAGAGGTCACATGGCCCCGGAGCGACGCAACTTCGGATACGGGATCAGCCACCCTGGATACCCTCCTCCCCTCTGCCCCAAATCACCGCTCCCAAGTCCCGCCTCCGCTCCATGTTGGCATTGACCCACCTCCGCCGAACCCTGCCTACACCCCACGCCCGACCCCCTTCCTCCTGCCTAGGTTGCAGCCACGCGGCGCTCCAGACCGCCCCCCACCCGCGCCCCGCTCAGTCGCGTCGGCCCCGCCCACGGCCCGTCCATGGCCCCGCCCCTGCTCACACTGCACGTTCAGCGCGGTGCTGCGGTTAGCGCTCCCCACGGCGTTGCTGACCTCGCAGGACACCGGCTGGGTCAGGAATGAGGCGTCCGCCACCACCTCCAAAATTGACCCGCGGGCCCCGAGCACCGGGGAGCTCCCCTTTGCCCACCTGCAGAGGAGGGGGAGCTGTTAATGTTATCCCCTCCACAGCGGTCCCTAAGCCCCTGCAGTCCCTCAGTCCTCACCTGTAGCCAGTGACCGGGGGCTGGGCGGTGGCCTGGCACCGGAACGTGACTTTCTCTCCTTCATACACAGTCTGCGGTTCTGCAGATAGCGTCACCACTGGTGGGTCTGCGGAGGTAGGCCAGTGGTCAGCACAAAGACCACTTGTAACCCCTCTGTGGCTGTCTTAGGAGTTCAATTCCCAGTCCCTTGTGCCCCAGCAATCTGGGTCTCCATTCTCTTCTTCCCTTTGGGTCAGGAGTCCAGGCCTCTCATTCCCAGTCCGTCATGGACTCCAAGTCTATACCCCCCTTGTTCCTCATACTCTGGAGTCAAAACCCCTCTTTCCTCAGGGACCTCAAATGTCCATCCATACTCACACTGCAGGCTCAGAGTGACAGCTGTGTCCTTCCCGGAGGGTAAGGCTTGGTTCCGGGCACGGCACACCAAAGTGGCTCCATCATCCTGGCTGGAAGGGGTTAAGTACAAGATGCTCTCCACTAAGCCAGTGCTCTCTTCGTTCAGCTGGGTCTGGGGGTTAAGAATAATAACACTAGCCTGAGAGATTGTACCAGAGGGTAGGGTGTCTGCCTTGCAAGCAGCTGACCCTGTCACCCCTTATGGTCCCCTGAGTATTGCTAGAAATGATTCTGTAGTAAGCCCTGAGCACCACTGGGTTTGGCTCAAAACACAAATAAGTAAATTAATACAATATTGATTGCATCCATCCCTTATAATGCTTATTTAGTATATGACTTTCTTCTAGGAATTTATTTATATTAAATATCACATTATTTAATCCTTCAAATCACCCTATGGATGCATATTACTAAGCCAGTGCTCTCTTCCTTCAGCTGGGTCTGGGGGTTAAGAATAATAACACTAGCCTGAGAAATTGTACCAGAGGGTACCAGCTGCAAGCAGCTGACCCTGTCACCCCATATGGTCCCCTGAGTATTGCTAGAAATGATTCTGTAGTAAGCCCTGAGCACCACTGGGTTTGGCTCAAAATACAAAAAAGTAAATTAATACAATATTGATCGCATCCATCCCTTATAATGCTTATTTAGTATACGGCTTTCTTCTAGGAATTTATTTATATTAAATATCACATAATTTAATCCTTCAAATCACCCTATGGATGCATATTACCCATTGCACAGATAAGGAAACTGAGGAACTGAGAAGTTAAGTCATTTAATCAAGCTCAATCACCTACTGAGTGGCTGAGCCAGTATTTGAAACTGGGTGATCCAGTCGGAGGGTCTGTACCTTTAATTGCTTATTGGGTCCCACCCCCTTGAATTTCTGCACTCTCCCCTCCATAAACCTGTGGCCTGAACTGACCCCCAACTGTCCCTGAATGGGCAAGGGTTGACAAAGGGACTTGGACCTGACCTGGCGGAAGGTGGCCCCATCCAGTCGGACCCCGTCTCGGAACCAGAGCAGCTCAGGAAAGGGGTGAGCATCACCACGGCTCCGACAGGTCAGATTCGCAGGAACCCCAACAACCAGAGACACAGAGGGACCGCCCAGTACCTGGGGGGGTTCTGGGGGCACTGTGGAGGACAGATCAGGAGTCAGAGTTGAATATTCAACCCAGAGACCCTGATCTTCCCAGCTCTGGCCAGCCACTCCTCTGGATGCCCCCAAATCTCCGCCTCCCCCCTAACACTAGTTGTCGCCATGGGCCCCCGGGCCAAGAAGGTTCTCACCCAGTACATGCAGCTGGGCTGGTCTGGAGCGGAGGCCTGCCTGTGAAGCCTGACATTCATACGTGGCTTGGTCTTCCAGCTCCACCGGTCTAATGTGGAGGTCATGCTGGCCACTGGCTCCACTCCCTGATATCCAGTACCGAGGCCACCCTGGAGTCAGGGAAGAAACAATCACACCACCATTCTGGCTTCCTGACCCCAGGGCCCCCATGCCCATATGTTCCATAAGAATTGAGACATTTCCCAAAACAGATGCTGCATCAAAGACTCCTCCCAAGTCCAAGTCACTGCACTTGAAAATGATAGAGCATAAAAAGCCCTTAGAGTCAAAGTAGGGATAGTACAGTGGCTAGGATGCTTGCCTTACTTGTGGCTGACCAAGTTTTATCCCAGGCACCACATAGGGTCCCCTGAGCAGAGAACCAGGAGTAAGCCCTGAACACGACCAGGTGTGGCTCCCAAATGAAAAATTTAAAAAGAAAAGGGAAAAAGAGACTAGACACTACTTCTGGAATGAGGGGTGTGGCTATCACAGGGGAAGGGAGGGGGAGGGGCCAGTGGGTTAGTGCTCTGAGGACCCAGGCAGTGGTTACAAAATGCCTATTTTAGAATTGGTGAATCTTCCACTCAAGTTTTAAGGGCTTCTCTACAGTTGTGATTAATTTACAATAAACATTAAAACTCCCAAATCCTATGGGTCAGCCCAAAGAAACGAAAATGTTGGAACTTCCAAATGTTTACCAGAGCTATTGGTTTCGAGAATTTGAAAGCATCGAGTAGAAACTTTAGTCACAGCTCAAGCCCCTTCCCCCAGCCTACGCCCTGGAGAAGAAAACAGGCTCACCCGGCAGGTCTCTTTGGCCCCCTAGAGCCAGCCCATCCTTAGTCCACTGAACCAGTCCCCTGTACTCGCCCAGGGCACAGGGGAGGCGCGCCTCGGACCCCAGCAGTACCACCAAGTCCTCTGGCTGTTGCACGAAGTGTGGAGACCCTAGGAAAATAGGGGTGGCGGGCGCAGAGATGAGCTTCTTCTTTCAGCTCCCAGGTATCGGTCCCACCCCCTCCTCCCGCAGACCCGGAGAGCCAGCCCAGCACCATGCACCCAGCAAAGCTGATAAACAAACAATTCCCCATATACATTGCCGCCCCCTTCTTTCGTGGTACCTGCATTTCCTTCGAGGCAGAAGAGGAGGGTGAGGAGAACGCAGACTGGCATCCTGAGCGAGTCAGGCCCCAGATTCAGACTTGCACCAACTTCCTTGCCAGCGCCTTCCTTGGCGGGTACCTCTCTCCGCTTCGCACCCCAGTCCCTCTCGCTGGCCTGGGGCTGCTCGAGCCTGCCCAGCCGCGATCTCCGATGCTCAGAAACACTGGCGGGTGCGTGGGATCGGCCTCGGTGAGACCCCGGGAGGGCGGGAGTCCACTCGCCCCGCCCCCGCCCGCCCCCGGGAGCCCCGCCCCCTTCCATTGAGAAACTCCCGCGGCTACGGCGCCGATGAATGGGCACACTGCGCGGGGGTGCCCCGGCCCGGTTGGGGTCTGGGAACTAGAACACCTGGACGGAAAGAAGGGGGTCCAGGCTGGGCTGGACACCTGCACGCTAACACGGTTCCGGGGGGGCACAGGGAGCCTGGAGATGAGGTAGAGAGAGAGGCGAGGGCATGGAAGAAACTCGCTCAGCCCAGGTCCTGGAGGGAACGCGGAGTGGAAACAGAGCTATAACGGGGAGCCCTCGGGACCTCGCCAGTTTCCGCGCCCTGGGGAGGCGGGGCCCGTTGGTCTTCTGAGACTGCGGGTCAGAAAGAGGGCATGTGGGTAGCGGGGCCAGCTAGGACCTTCCCCCAAGAAGAGGGAAGGGGTTTCAGCTTTTCCCGCCCCAAAACGTCTCCTCAAAAACAGCCCTCTTGGGGCGGGAGCGATAGAACAGCGGGGAGGATGTTTGCCTGGCTTGCGGCTGCCCAGGGTTCCATCCTCGCCATCCCCGTGGTACCTCGAGCCCCGCCAGGAGTGATTCCTGAGCTCAGAGGCAGGAATAAGCCCTGAGCATCGCCGAGTATGGCCCCAAGCCCATAAACAAACAAACAAACAAACAAACACATTTCCCTCTCGCCAGTCTACCACCACTTGCTACCACCACTGCAAAGCAAGGCTCATCCTATGATACAGCAACCCAGGCCCCCAGCCCCTCCTTTCCTGGACCCCCCAGGCCCTCGCCCCCCTCGGTGGTTGCCTGGAGACGGCGGGGCGGATGGCCAGGCTGGGAACCGCGCAGCTTGTGCTGGCGGCTGCGTGTCGCCCAGCTGCGGCGTTCCCACGCTGCGGGCAGAGTGCGCTGCGCAGCTGGCTGGGCAGGTGGGCGGACCCAGCGACGCCTGGGGACGCGGGGGTGGGGGGGGTGCTGCTCGGGGCGGGGGGGGGGGGGGGGCTGGGTTCTACATTCCTGAGCCTGGAAGGACTCGGGGTCCCTATTAGGCGCTCCCTTATTCCTCAGCTCATATTTTTGCACCCCTAAATGGCAGAGACCTGAAAATTCTCAGAATTCTAAGATTGGGGGTTCAGATCTTTGTAGATTAAGACGCACTTAATGGCCTGAATTCTGAGTTTCTGAGGAGTTAGGGATCCAGCTAGGTTCGGCACAGGCAGCATGGAAGAATTGAGAGAGAATGACAGCGGGTGGGAAAATCTGATCTCAGCATGAGTGGATTTAAACCAAATCCTTCCCTCATCCCCACCAGCCCAGGCGGTTTTGGAAACCAAGGAATGAATATCTGCACTGGGGCCTGGGGGGGCCTGAGGGGGAGGGGGAGTGGGTTGGGAGGGAGGAGGTTTCCAGGCTCCATCTCCTGGATCTTTGGGTCTGAACTCCCGAGTCCGAGAGGATGGGTCCTGGGGCCCCACATATCTAGGTCCTGACTTCTATTTGGGAGACACAGGGCTGGAGTTTGGAACAGAAATAGGTGCATTGGGGCCCGGACTCCTGAGTCTGAGAGAGGAAGTCAGGGGGTGAAGCTGTTTTTCCAGACACCTGACCTGGTTCCCCTTCTCAGCCCTCTGGGGCTGCAGGCGTGGAAAGATGGGGAGCCTGAGATCCCTGGAGCCTCAGGAGGAGGAAAACAGCTACAGTGGAGGGTGGAAGGTTTGTGCTAATTAAAGCTCCCAGCGACTGACAGCTCTATGCCCTGATCCTGAGGGATACCATCTGGCAAGGGCTCCTCTGGCAGAACGCCCCCCCACACGCCCCCCAGAAGGAGGAGTTGGGGAGCAGTCAGGAGAGGGACTGCAGAAGGAGGGCAAGGAGTCAGTAATGGGAGGGAGGGAAAGGCCTCAAGGGAGAGGCCGTGGGGGCTTGAGCCAGATGCCTCATCTGGTTCCTGGAGGAGAACCACATAGAGTTGGGGGGTGGGGGAAGTTCCAATTCCTGCAGGAGAGAAGCAGACAGAAGATTATCCTGTGTGAGTGTGTGTGTGTGTGTGTGTGTGTGTGTGTGTGTGTGTGTGTGTGTGTGAGTCCCTGCATGGACGCATGTATACACACTTGGGCAGCCATGCAGCCTAGAGTGAGTGATTCGGTTCAAAGCCTTGGCCATCAGGGAGACTCAGAGCTGGAGAAATGAGAGGGAGGGGTGGATGAGAGCTAACGGTGGATGAGGGGTGGAGAAACAAGACAAAAGGGGGATGAGAACTAATATTTGCTGTGCTTCTGTGTGCAAGAGAGAGAGAGAGAGAGAGAGAGGGAGGGGGAGAGACACCAATGAAGTAGGAAAACAGAGACAGGTGAAGACAAAGAGAGGGGCCCAGAGCAAATGGCCAGCTGGGGGCTGGAGAGATAGTACAGTGGACTGAGCACATGTTTTGTACGCAGGAGGCCTGGTTTTGATTCGTGAAATGGTCCCCTAAGCGCTGCTTAGAGCGACCCCTGAGCACAGTGTCAGGAGTATTTCCCCTGTGCACACTAGGTGTGGCTCCTTTCCCCATTCTCCCTGCAACAAACACAAATATTTTGGCCCAAGGAGTTGACGCAGAGGGCTGAAGTGCCTGCTTTGCATGTGGGATGTCCAGGTTCAAGCCCAGGAGGACCCCAAAGCACAGAGCTGGGAGTAGCCTTCAAGCACTACTGGGTGTGGCCCCCAAACTAGCCAATAAAGCAAACAAGGGGTTGGAGCCATAATACAGTGGGTAGGGCACTTGCCTTGCATGTGGCTGGGTTTGATTCTCACTATCCCATATGGTCCCCTGAGTACGCTAGGAGTGATCCCTGAGTGCAGAGCCAGGAGTTACCCCTGAGCACTGCCAGGTGTGGCCCCCAATAAGGAAAAATAAAAACTGGCTAAGATGGGATACTGCCTTTTACTCACACCCACTTTGACCATGCCTGTTCTGCACCTTTGACTTTCTCTACTCTCACAAGCATGCTCACATCCTGCATGCACACACACACATCCCTATGTACGCGCATGCGCGCGCACACACACACACACGTACACATCCCCATATACTCCCACTATCCCAGCCTCCCACATGCCACACACTTCTCACAGGCCCCAATGTCACCAAGATCACCAATGGGGGGGGGGGCTCAGGGAAGGAAGGGACTTGTCAAGGTCATATACCAAGCCACCGAGGTCCTGGGGGGACCCTACCCCACATTGAGTGAGGATTACCTGGACACGACCTGCTCTCCCTAGACCTGCTCGCCCCCCACACCACAGGTCCTTGGGGGATCATGGGACTGGGGGAGGCACTGAGGAATGTGCCTGGCATGTGCTGACAGGGACTTCACGCTCCAGCTGGGCGGGGAGGAGCCTGCGGGGCAGAGGCCTGGCGCAGCTGGTGTTTGGACCAGCTCAGTGGCCCCCCGGCTCGGCTCGGGAGCACTCCTTGGGCTTGTAGGAGGCGAGAAAAGGAACGACAGGACAGAAGTGCAGGAAAGGAGGCAGAGGGAGGCAGAGAAGGGCAGGGAAGACAAAGAAGGACCAGAGAGGGAATTCGGGAGGGGAAAAGGAGATAGTCAAGAGCGCGGAGCAGGGGGGACCTAGGCCAGGGGGCAGAGCAAGACATTCCTGGACAAAGAGAAAAGAGAACAAGACAGAAATAGAGGCGAAAAGAGCCTGAGAGCGAAGCAAGAATCCGAGACTTAGTAAGGAACCCAGAGATAGCCAGAGCAAGAGGGTAGCAGGCAGCGGGCCCAGGGGCAGAGGCCACGGGATGGCCCTGAGGAGCCCCAGCATAACTCCCCTCCTCCTTCTGGGGTTCCTGAGCACAGGTAAGTGAGATTTGGGGCGGAAGGCCACCTTCCAGTGGCCCTCATGTCCTCTGCCTTCCACTGAACTCCCTATTTTCCCCAGGCCTAGCCTCGGGTCCCCGAGGCTTCTGGGCTCTGCCTGACAACACAACGGTGGTGGAGGGGGGCACTGCTGTGCTGCGATGTGGGGTCCACGCCCCTGGCAGTGCAGTGCAGTGGGCCAAAGATGGGCTCCTCCTAGGCCCCCATCGGCAGATTCCCGGCTTCCCCAGATACCAGCTGAAAGGGGATCCTGCCAGAGGTGAGGACTCAGAAGGCCCGATCTTGAGTCGCATGCAGAGGCCAGACTGTGGCCCTGACCTTGAGTCTCCTGCAGGTGAATTCCACCTGCAGATTGATGCCTGCGACCTCAGCGATGATGCAGAGTACGAGTGCCAGGTCGGCCGCTCAGAGACAGGCCCTGAGCTCTTGTCTCCCAGAGTGATCCTCTCTGTACTCGGTATGGGCAAGTGCCCCCCCACCAGGTATCCTATGCCTGCACTTTCCTGACCCATGACCCTTCCTGTCCCTCCGTTTTCAGACCTAGTGGGCAGTGGGGTAGGGGTGTGGGTGCAAACTCACTTTGTGGGCTATGAGGCTCCCACCCAAATCCTCAGGTCCCACTTGCAACCACTAACTCCAGAGCTTGTCTCCCCAGTACCCCCGAAGGTGCTTCAGTTGACCCCTGAGGCAGGGAGCACCGTCACATGGGTGGCTGGGCAGGAGTACGAGGTCAGCTGTGTGTCTGGGGACGCGAAGCCAGCCGCAGACATCAGCTTCCTCCAGAGTGAGTGGGGACAAAGTGTGTGTGTGTGTGGGGGGGGTTAACAGTGGGGATTTTCTGGTGTGGAAAAAGTATGTGTCTTGCCTAGGGCATCAGGAAGCTAAAACAACACCTCTGAGATGTGTTGGGACATCTCAGGAGCAGGGTTGGGGACATGCAGCCAGTTTGGGACACAAATGGTGAGGGACATCACAGGAAAGTTTGTCTGGGACTCAGGGAAGAGCCCAGGGAGCCAGGCTGAACTCTGGGACACTGGGATAGAGACCGGAAGTTGAGGTGTGGGGGTGAGACCCAGCAAAGATGGGAGGTGAGGGAGACCCCGGAATGCCCAATAACTCCATGTCCGGGGTACCTGAATGAGTGGTTGGACCAGAGCTGGTGTTCCAGGAGCGAGAGGGGCAGCATGTCCACTGACCCTGAACCCCAGGCCTTACCTCTGGGAAGGCCCGCATCCTCCCATCCACCTCTTGCCTCCAGGTGGACAAAAAATTGATGACATCACCACAGATGTGAATTCGGGGTCCCAAGACAAACTCTTCATCACAGAGGCCACAGCCAGGTATGGAAGTAGAGGTCCCCTCCCTCTGGCTCCCCAACATGTCTCCACGAATATTGTAGGAGTTCAAGTCTGAAGATTTGGATCAAATATGACAATCTGGACCCTGACTCTCCAAAACTTCTCCAGGGGAATGCCAGTTTCCCCAAAATTTTGGTCAACTCTCATGACTGGTCCCCAAACTCTCCCACAGAGCTCCAAATTATATAGAGATATAGATCTGGGATCCCTCCTCCTCATCCTAACAGACCAAATTTCAGATGACTGTGAGTTCAGAACCCCGACTTCCCACCCTAGGGTGACACCACAGAGCTCGGATAATGGGCAGCTACTAGTCTGTGAGGGCTCCAGCCCAGCCCTGGACACACCTATCAAGGTCTCCATCACCATGAATGTTCTGTGTAAGTGGGAAACTGGGTCAGCTGTGAGCAGGGAGCAGGAATTAGGAGTCGAGGGAGGCACAGAATTGTGGGAAACAGCACTCAAAGGACGAGGGACCCGAAGAGGATTGTGGGGTTGAGAAAAAATGGTTGTGCTGGGGATGTGATTCATGTGGTAAAGCAATACCTCACATACATGAGGTCCTGGGTTTGACCTCCAGAACTTCACAACATGCCCTGCCCAGTCGGGCATCACACCACTGGGTCCTGCACAGTGCTGACTCATTGAATGATCAAGGTTTCCAGTCCCCCCAGGACCCCCCATCATTGAGTGGCCAGGCCTGGAAGAGGGGCATGTGAGGGCTGGACAGAACCTGGAGCTGCCGTGCATAGCCCGTGGCGGGAATCCACCAGCCACACTGCAGTGGCTAAAGGTGAGCCTGTAGCTGACTGAGGTTCAGAGGAAACACAGTGACCCGGAGCTGGCCCAGAGCTGGCCTGGGCCTCTTTCTGCCCCCAGAATGGGCAACCCGTGTCCACAGCGTGGGGCACAGAGCACACTCAGGCCGTGGCACGCAGCCTCCTGGTGATGATCGTGCGGCCAGAAGATCATGGAGTGAGACTCAGCTGTGAATCGCACAATAGTGTGTCTACGGACATCCAGGAACGCGGGATCACACTCCAGGTCACCTGTGAGTGCTGGGAACAGTCCCTCAGTTGGTTGATCTGACCGCCAGAGAACCATCTGTTTGTGCCCTGCACCCCCCACAATGTCCTTTCTGATGCCTATGACTTGCACCCCAGGGGCTGGTGGTCAGAGAAACCCAGCCCAGCTTAGGGGCACTGCTCTGCCCTCGGTCCCTGCAGTTCCCCCCAGTGCCGTTACCATCCTGGGTTCTGCCTCCCAGTCTGAGAACAAGAATGTGACACTCTCCTGCATCACCAAGTCTAGTCGCCCGCGGGTCCTGCTGCGCTGGTGGCTGGGCTGGCGGCAGCTGCAGCCCACAGAAGAGGCAGTCGTGGAAGTGAGGAGGGGCTGGGCCTGGATCTGGGGAAGGAGGAGTCTGGTGCCTTAGGGGGTCCTGGAGGGGCATGGACTGGAGTCTGGCTGGGGGGGCAGAGGAATGGATGTTTCATAGATGCCTGCTGGAAACTGGGGTGGACCCAGGGCTCTGGGTCCATGCATGGGGGTGCCCTAGTCCCCCAACTGAAGCTCACTTCCTGCAGGGCCTGCATGGCGGCCACATCTCCATGTCCAACCTGACATTCCTGGTGCGACGGGAGGATAATGGTCTCACCCTCACGTGTGAGGCCTTCAGCGAGGCTTTCACCAAGGAAACCTTCAAGAAGTCACTCACCCTAAATGTGAAATGTGAGACCCCTCCCTGGCCTATTCCCTGGCTCAGGCCCCAGCCAGGGGGGAAAACCAGCTTTTACTGGTATACCCACAGATCCTGCCCAGAAGCTGTGGATTGAGGGTCCACCGGAGGGACAGCACCTCCGGGCTGGAACCCGGGTGAGGCTGGTGTGTTTGGCCATTGGAGGCAACCCGGACCCCTCCCTCACCTGGTACAAGGTTGGTAAGAGAAGGATTGTGGTTGGGGGGTGGGGACTGAGGGGGGGACAGGGAGAAACACTCAGGGGGTTGAGCGCATGTGCAAGTGATTCAATCACAGACATTGCATGGGCTTCTAAGAACTATTGAGTGTGACCCCCAAACAAACAAACAAAAACACCAAAGGAGAGCATGGTGAGCAGGCATCGAGGAAAAAGGATAAAGCCTCTTTTTCACTCTAGAGTCTGGGAGAAATCTCGGAATTTGCATTTCTTTTCTTTTACTTTTTTTTTTTTTGCAGAGGGGAGGGTCACATCCAGACATGCTGGTGGGGGTACTCCTGGCTCAGTGAGCAGGATTTGCTCCCAGCTTTACTGGGCAATCACACATGCCAGGAATCCAACCCAGGGATCTGGGTGCTTCCTTTGTGTCCAATATGCATTTCCTGAAAAAGACTAAAGGTTTTGAGTTCAGGCAGGGAATTGAAAAAATACATAGATACTGGGAGAATTTAAAGAAATTTTAGGAAAATTCTGGGACTCTGGGTAGTGAAAGTTCCAACATCAAAAAAGGAAATCTGGGGGCTGGAGCAATAGCACAGCGGGTAGTGCGTTTGCCTTACACGCAGCCAACCCGAGTTCGATTCCCAGCATCCCATATGGTCCCCCGAGCATCGCCAGGGGTGATTCTTGAGTGCAAATTCAGGAGTAATCCCTGAGCATCGCAGAGTGTGACCCAAAAAGAAAAAAAAGAAAATCTGAATCAAGATTGAGAATTCTAGAGAAAAAGCAATTACTTTTTTTGGGAGGGGTCACACCCAGCAGCGCTCAGGGATCACTCCTGGTGGGGCTCAAGAGCCATATGGGGGCTGGAGCAATAGCACAGCGGGTAGGATGTTTGCCTTGCATGTGGCCAACCAGGGTTCGATTCCCAGCATCCCATTGACCCCCTGAGTACAGCCAGGGGTAATTCCTGAGTGCAGAGCCAGAAGTAACCCCTGTGCATCGCCGGGAGTGGCCCAAAAAGCAAAAGAAAAAAAAAGAGCCATATGGGAATCAAACCTGGGTCAGCCATGCTCAAGGCAAATGCCCTTCACTGTACTATTACTCCAGGCCCAAGGCAGGGGGCAGGGAACCTCAGTTTGATCCCTAGTACCACTTATGTTCCTCAGACCATCACCAGGAGTGATCCCTGAATATAGAACCAGGAGTGACCTGTGAACACCACTGGACGTGGCCCCCAAACAAAAATAAATAATATTTTAAAATTTGGACAGACTTCTGGGAATATCCTAGGAAATCAGGAAGCTGGTAGAAACTTTGGGAGGAAAGATCAGGAGTTAGAGAATGAACTGGAACTAGGAGTAAGAGAATGAACTGGAGCTCAGTTTAATTGGGTGGAAATTGTGGGACAAAGAGTGGAGGACACTGCAGCTTGACATGCTGGAGACCCAGGCACTGCATGGTCCTCAGCACTGCTGGGAGCCACCAGAGCTCAGAGCTGAGTAGTTTTGGAACAGCTCTGGGTTTGGCCCCAAAAGAAATCAAAACATTGAACAGAATTCTGGAGGAAATGTCAAGAATTTGGACAATATGAAATATACTAGTTAATGGGGTCAGAGAGATAGTACAGCGGGTAGGGTGCTTGCCTTGCATGCAGCTGACTACGGTTCAATCCTCGGCATCCCATATGGTCCTTGAGCACTGCCAGAAGTAATTCCTGAGTGCAGAGCCACTGAGCAATGCTGGGCGTGCCCCAAAACCAAAAACACAAAACAGCAACAGAAAAAGATTGTAGTGAAAAACTAAAAACTAGGGTAAGAGAATATTGAGGAAAGATTCAGAAATCTGTGGCAAAACAATGGACAAAAGGGAAAGCTTAAAGAAAAAAAAGTGTTTGGAAAATTGGGGGTTTTGAGAACTAAAGATAGCAGAGATGGAACAAATTCTAGGGAAGGTTTGGGAATTCCACGGGGAATTCCAAACATGTGGACTGTAACATGAAGCCAGAAGGGCTTTTGAGAAGCAGGGTGGAGTGTGGGCTAGGAGAAAGAATAAATAGCAGCCCCCACCCTCAGACTGGGGTGCTGACGGGTGTTGACAGGCCTGAGCGCAGAGGCAAACCTCATGGTGCCGTCCATTCTAGCCTCAGTTCTCACGCCTTCACCACGTGTGCCCTTTCTCCCTTCGCTGCCCAAGGTTATCTGGGCTGACCATACTAGTCCTCAGGTTGCCAGCAGGCTGGGCGGGGTGTGGCAGGGCTCCCCATGCACCTCCAGCCACTCTTGGCCCCTCAGGACTCACGCACGGTGACTGAACCGAGGCAGCAGCAGGAGCCACGCCGGGTGCGGCTGGGGACCGTGGAGAAGTCAGGGAGCACCTTCTCCCGAGAGCTGGTGCTCATCACTGGCCCTTCGGACAACCAGGCCAAGTTCACATGCAAAGCGGGCCAGCTCAGCGCCTTCACAAAGCTGGTGGTGCAGTGTGAGGGAGCGCCGGGTCTGGGCGGGTGGGAAGGTTGGTGGCGGGGAAGTGGGCCTGAGCGCTGAGTAGGGGGTCCGAAAGGACGTCGCAGTGTGCACTCGGGTGCCTGGATCACCGCAGGCCCGGCCAGGGGGGTACAGGGCTAGACCGGGTGTATGTCCCAAGCCGGGCCTCCCTCACATCTGATGCTCGCCCCCTTTCCACACGTTCTTTTGCAAGTTCCCCCCACTAACTTGACGATCCTGGCAAACGTATCCGAGCTCCGTCCCGGGGATGCTTTAAACTTGACGTGTGTCAGCATTAGCAGCAACCCGCCGGTCAACTTGACTTGGGACAAGGAGGGGAAGAGGTGGGAGTGCCAACGCACGGCCCCCGCTTCTTCTCCTGCACCCCTACTCCGGCCCGCTGGTCCCGCCCTGCATGCAGCCGCCGCTGCAGTTCCCGTCTCAGACTCGCGCCCGCCTGATGTGCCCCGTCCACAGGCTGGAGGACATGGCCGCACTGCCTCGGACTGCCCCCTTCAAAGGCTCCTCTGTCGCCAGGACCGTCCTTCTGAGGTTGTCGTCCCGCGATCACGGCCACCGCGTGACCTGCAGTGCGCACAGCCCCAGACTTCGGGAAACCGTGAGCGCCTTCTACCGCCTCAACGTGCTGTGTGAGTGTACCACCTGGCGCCCTCTCGCTGGCCTCCTGCCCGCTGCCACTCCCACCCTCACCTGGACTCTGTTCTGATCACACTCCCTGCCCTTGACATTTTCCTGACCTTCGTCTGGACCCCTGCTTTGACACCAACCCTATGCAGCCTACCTCCATCTTTCCTTGGTTCTCTGCTGGAACCTCTGACCAGGACCCCGATTCTGACCTCTGTCCACCAGTTTTTTTTTTATTTTTATTTTTGGGTTACACCTGGCGATGCTCAGGGGTTACTCCTGGCTCATGCACTCAGGAATTACTCCTGGTGGTGCTCGGGGGACCATATGGGATGTCGGCCGTGTGAAAGGCAAACGCCCTACCCACTGTGCTATCACTCAGGCCCCATTTTCTTTTTCTTTTCTTTTCTTTTCTTTTCTTTCTTTCTTTCTTCTTTCCTTCCTTCCTTCCTTTCTTTCTTTCTTTCTTTCTTTTTTTCCCTCTGACTTCTCTCCATCTGAAGCTTACCTCTGGCCTCCACCACCCTTTCGCCAAACTGGGTCCTAATTGCCATCCTGAACCTGTCAATCCCCACCCTCATTCCCAGCTCTGTTATTTAACAGCTACCTTGTCCACAACCTTAAATCTAGTGGTGGCCCCCTTCTTAGAACCTTTACTTTACTTTTTTTGAGGGGTGGGGTGGCATCCAGTTGTGCTCAGGGCTTATGCCTGGCTCTGCTCTCACGAATCAGTCCTGACAGTGCTCTCCGGGCCATATGGGGTGCCAGGAATCAAATCTGGGTCAGCTTTGTGCAAGGAGGACACCCACCCTATGCTGGGGTAGGCAGCATAGGGTTGGTGCCAAAGCAGGGGTCCAGACAAAGGTCAGGAAAATGTCAAGGGCAGGGAGAGTGATCAGAACATTGCACTATTGCTTGGCTCTAAAACCTTTAAACCTGTACCCACTCTCAAACCTGTGCTGAATCCCAACCTTGATAATTCTCACACCGGGTGGCACCCCTGCCAGACCCTCCAGAGTTCCTTGGGGAGCAGGTGTTCGAGGTGACCGCAGTGGAGCAGGGCCAGGCGCTGCTGCCCGTGTCGGTATCTGCCAACCCGTCCCCTGAGGCCTTCAACTGGACCTTCCGTGGCTACCGCCTCAGCCCAGGTGTGTGGAGTGGGAGTGAGCCGGTACTGGTCTCCAGAAAAAGAACTCCTGGCAGCCCCCCCCACTTCCCCTGACCTTCTCCAGCTGGGGGACCCCGCCATCGCATCCTGACTGGAGGAGCTCTGCAGCTGTGGAATGTGACCCGCGCGGACGATGGTCTCTATCAGCTGCACTGCCAGAACTCGGAGGGCACTGCAGAGGCGCTAGTGAGGCTGCACGTTCACTGTGAGTTCCTCAGCACCTAAGAGAAGTTGAGAACTCCAGGGCCCCGCCCACTCAGGGCGGAGCCTCTTGTAGAAGCTCCGCCCAGTCCCAAATCCACTGGAAGAACCCTTTCTGAAAGCCACGCCCTGATTAGGCCATGCCCCTATAAGCCACGCCCCACAGTAGGCCACGCCCCAACCAAGCCTTGCCTGCTTTGGGAGTACTGTACTTTTTTTTTTTTTTTTTAAATTTTATTGAATCACCGTGAGATAGTTACAAGCTTTCATGTTTGGGTTACAATCACACAATGATCAAACACCCTCCCTCCACCAGTCCCCACCACCAATATCCCTGGTATATCCCCCCTTTCCCACCCTCCCCCTGCCTCCATGGCAGACAATATTCCCCATACTCTCTCTCTACTTTTGGGCATTTTGGTTTGCAATACAGACACTGAGAGATTATAATGTTTGGTCCTTTATCTACTTTCAGCACACATCTCCCATCCTGGCCCGTTCCTCAAGCCATCATTTTCTTAGTGATGCCTTGTCTATTCCAGCTGCCTTCTCCCCTTTGCTCATGAGGCAGGCTTCACCGTGAGAGTCCCACACCTTTAGAGACCCAATGGCATCTCTCCAGACAGGGGCCACCTCTAGGGGAGTCTGCTCCCTCAGAAAGCCAAGCCCACTGTGAAAGTTCTATTTCCATCCATTCCCCTCCCCATTTTGGAAATCCCCAGAACAATCCTTGTCATTCTAGAGGAACAGAAGAGGGTGGGGCAACCTCATAAGTACTTGGCATAATATCCCTCCTTCCTGGGGCCCTTGCTATCTGGGTCCAAAGCCTTCCCCCAAGTCACTGCCTCCCACAGTTGCTCCCATCATCCGGATTCTCCAGGACCCCACTGAGGTGAATGTTGGGGGTTCTGTGGACATAGTCTGCACTGTTGAAGCCAATCCCATCCTTCCAGAGATGTTCAGCTGGGAGAGACTGGTGAGAATCAAGCTTTGATAATTCCAAGTGGGGTGGGAATATGGTTTCTGAATGTGAGTTTGGGGAAAAAGGATCACATCACAACACAAGAAATGCTCCAAGAACTAATAGTTGATGGGTAGTTGAATGGAAAATCAAGTGAGTGTGTGGGTGGGTATATGGCTCAAAAGGAAGATGGGTGGACCTACAGAGGGGCAGATGAGTGAAGAGCAGGTGGACAAAGCAAATGGAAGAATGGTTGGAGTGAATGAATGGATGGATGGTTCAATGATTGAATGATAAAAATGAGATAAATTAGATAAGAGAATAAATAGATGAATAGGTGATAGATACACCATTGGTGGAACTGACATCTAAGGAAAGGGTGATGAATGCATAGATGTATGAATGAGAAACAGATGTATAAGTCTATAAGGAGATGGACAGATGAGGGGACGGAGAAATAGCATAGTGGGTAGGGTAATTGCCTTGCATGTGACTGACATGGGTTTGATCCCTGGCATACCATATGATCCCCTGAGCACTGCCTGACGTGATTTCTGAGTACAGAGCTAGGAGTAACCTCTGAACATCACCAAGTGTGGCCCCTTTCCCCCCAAAAAGGAAATCGAGAGATGAAGAGCAGGGAGATGGTTGATAGGAAGAAAACAAATTGTTGACTGGATGAATGATAGGTGAATGGACAGAAGAAAGATTAATAAGCAATTGGAAGAATGGTTTGTGGGTTCATGATTGACTAATTTAGTGGATGCATAGATGACCCCACGTATAAGTGGTTGGATATATGGATGACGATATATGGATGAGGGAGCAGTTGGCTGGACTAGGGATGGATGAACTGGATAAAATGGGTGGGTGGATGTGTAGGTGGATAACAAGCAGCAGTGGCGAGGGTGCCTTTGCCTTTGGTTTCCTTTCTGTGTGTTGGGGGATGGGGTCTGGAACTGTGGCTGGGAGAATGTGACTACAGAAGGAACCCAATTTGGAAACATGAAGCTAGAATCAGGTTGGGGGCCAACTGCTGAGACTTGAGCCTCCAGGGAGAAGAGGAGGAGGAGCAGAGCCTAGAAGACACAGAGCAGGTGTCAAAAGGATCCACAGGACGTCTGCGGATTCGAGATGCGAAGCTGACTCAGGCCGGTGCTTACCAGTGCATTGTGGACAATGGGGTGGCACCTCCAGCCCGAGGGCTGGTCCGTCTTGTTGTCAGATGTGAGTAACACCTCAAATCCTGACTTCAAAGCCTGTCTCTAGACCCTTTTCTTTCCACACACCTCATACTGACCCCCAACTCCTAGTTGCCCCCCAGGTGGAGCACCCCACTCCCCTCTCCAAAGTAGCTGCAGCAGGAGACAGCACCAGTTCTGCCACCCTCCACTGCCGGGCTCGAGGTGTCCCCAACATTGTCTTCACTTGGACTAAAAACGGGGTCCCTCTGGATCTCCAGGATCCCAGGTGAGTTCAGGCCCAGCTAAACCGCATTTCAGCCCCTCTGATGTTCCCTGAGTGCCAAGCACCCCTCCTCCCCAGGTACACGGAGCACACCTACCATCAGGGCAGCATCCACAGTAGTCTCCTGACTATTGCCAACGTGTCTGCAGCCCAGGATTATGCCCTCTTCACGTGCACAGCCACCAACCCCCTCGGCTCAGACCACACCAACATTCAACTCGTCAGCATCGGTAAGGTGGGAGGGGGCTGAGTTGGGGATGTACAGAGAGTGTCCCAACTGGTCTGCTTGGCCCCAGATGGGCAGCGTTCCCAAAACCTGAGAAGTCCTATGAGTGAGGATGGAGGGTTTTGTCTGCCCTGGAAACTGTATCTTCAAGAAAATTCACAGCAAAGGGAAAAAGAGGGAGGAGGCACTTAATTTGCCCAAGTAACTGAAAAAAGTAGCTTTCCACCAATGGCTGGATTTGGGGTCAGCAGCCATCAAGAGCTCTCCACTACTCAGCCCTGCTTCTGGCTATTATTCTAAGGCTTCTCATAGCTGACTGTTAGACATCCCAGGGGAAAAGCTCTCTCTCTCTCTCTCTCTCTCTCTCTCTGTCTCTCTCTCTCTGTCTCTCTCTCTCTCTCTGGGTCTCTCTCTCTGTCTCTCTCTCTCTTCCCCTTTCTCTTCTCTCTCACTCTCTCCCCTTTCTCCCCTTTCCTCTCTCTCTTTTCCTCTCTCTCTCTCTCTCCCTCCTTACCTCCCTCCCTCCCTCCCACCAACAGTGGAATTAAAGTGCTTGAATTAAGATTAATATACCTACTAGCTCCCATCCCTGAACCAATCATGCAGCCAATGGAAGGTGACTTTCTGATTGGCTAGAACTGATCACATGTCCATCCTGCCAGGAGTTTATTATTTGTCCTGGCTGTATTGAATCTGTCACTACTCCCTAAAATTTATGATGCAAATCAACAATCAAGGTGCTTTTTTTAAAAAAAATGATTTAGGGACAGGCACAGAGCAGGCAAAAAATTTGAGTTCCCCTCAATGAGCTCAATTCTCAGAGCAGGTGGAATGAGGCAACCATCTGTTTTTTGTTTCAGCTCTCAGACTAGCGCTAGTCTATTTTGTCATTTATTTAGTGCCACATCTTTTGCACTTCGGGGCTTTTGGGTTTGTGATTGTGTTATTTAAAATGCTCCCCCTCCCAGCAAAGTGTTTCTGAGCACAAGAAAACTGAGGAGTGTGGAAAGGAGAAAATCCTTGTTTGGAGAAGCCTCACTCAGGCGTCATGTAAAGTGCTGGCCATGTGTTCAGTGTTAATGAGTCATGATACACATTAAATTAGGTACCTTCAAACAGAAACATCCATACAACAAGATCATGTGTGACAGAACCCTTAACCAAAAGGTTGTGATGAGGAAGAATCCAACCCTGCCTTTCCCGTAGAAGCAAATCCCATGATTTGCTAATTTCTGTTTCAGTGACTCAACAGAATATCGTCACCATGAATAACAAGAATTGACTTATTTATTTGTTTTTATTTATTTATTTATTTATTTATCTGTTTTTTGGCCCACACCTGGCAATTCTCAGGGGTTACTCCTGATTCTGCACTCAGGAATCACTCCTGGCAGTGCTTGGGGGCCATATGGGATGTCAAGGCTTGAATCCAGGTCGGCTATGTGCAAGGCAAGGCAAGCACTACTTTATCTGCTATACTATCTCTCTGCCCCCAAGAATGGACTTTATTTAAAATAATTCTTTTAAAAAATATTTTTAAATTTTTATTTTAATATTGACAAAAGCCAAAATTGTTGATACAATTCTAGAGTTGAAATTGATTAGACAACAATCTCCTATATTAAAATCAATGTGTTTTGGGGGGCTGGAGCGATAGCACAGCAGGTAGGGCGTTTGCCTTGCACGCAGCCAACATGGCCAACACAGGTTCGATTCCCAGCATCCCATATGGTCCCCCGAGCACCGCCAGGAGTAATTCCTGAGCATTGCTGGGTGTGACCCAAAAAGCAAAACAAACAAACAAACAAAAACAATGCGTTTTTAAAATTCTTTTTTTTTTTTTGCTTTTGGGTCACACCCGGTGATGCACAGGGGTTGCTTCTGGCTCTGCACTCAGGAATTGTTCCTGGCAATGCTCAGAGGACCACATGGGATGCTGGGAATCAAACCCGGGTCAGCTGCATGCAAGGCAAACGGCCTACCTGCTGTGCTATCGCTCCAGCCCCTAAAATTCATTTTTATTTTATTTTATTTTATTTGGCGTTTTGGGTCACACTCTGGAGATGCACAGGGGTTACTCCTGGCTCTGCACTCAGGAATTACCCCTGGAGGTGCTCAGGGGACCATATGGGATGCTGGGAATCGAACCCAAGTCGGCCATGTGCAAGGCAAACGCCCTACCCGCTGTGCTATCACTCCAGCCCCTAAAATTCATTTTTAAACGTGAAAATTGTTGTGTCTCATCACAGGGTTGTTAAGTCCTTGTCTAAGAATTTACTAAACTGTCCATTCTAGCTGAGACTTCCCCGTTATCATTTTTGTTTGTTGAGCTTAGTTGGCTTCTATGTTACTCTCCCATCTAATTTGGTGTGCTCCTACTGAAATTTCAGAATTAGGTAAAGGTAAAGGTAAGGTAAAGGCCCTCCCGTTGATCGTCGATTTGCTCGAGCGGGCCCAGTAACGTCTCCATTGGAGACTTTGTTGTTACTGTGTCTGGCATATCGAATACTCTCGGTAGCTTGCCGGGCTCTCCGAGAGGGGCGGAGGAATCGAACTTGGGTCTGCCATGTTGGCCACGTGTAAGGCGAACGCCCTACCCGCTGTGCTATCGCTCCAGCCCAGGAAGTATCCATATTTCAGTCTCTATGATCTGGGCCAATGAGTAGACATGGCAGCAGATAAGGGGGGTAGGTATGGCAGCTGGGGCTTCCTGAAGTAAGTGGGGTTGAGGGAGGCTGTCAACCCAGACTCCAAGAAGACTCCAGAGTTCTCAGCCTGGGTACTGGGTACCTGAAATTATTCACAGTTTGGCATGTCTGTAGAGAATTTTCATAAGTGGTGGAGTTGAGCTCTTGGAATGGCAGCAGAAGTGGGGTGTGGGTGCCACTGCTGGGGTTTCAGCAGAGCCGGTATTCAGCCCACCAGCTTTCTGAGGGCATCCTGGAGTTTTCAACCCTGGACACTGGTGCTTCCATGAACTTTAACTGCTTGTGGTGAATCTGCTTGAGATTTATACATGATTTGGTAGAGCAGGGCTGGTTGGTGAATCAACATGGTGGTGGTTATCTTCAAAATAATTCTCAGGGACTGGAACAATAGCACAGCGGGTAGTTCGGGCATTTGCCTTGCACGTGGCCAACCCGGGTTTGATTCCCAGCATCCCATATGGTCCCCTGAGCACTGTCAGGAGTAATTCCTGACTGCAGAGCCAGGAGTAACCCCTATGCATTTCTGGGTGTGATCCAAAAATAAATAAATAAATAAATAAAAATTCTTAGTTTAAAAAACAAACAAACAAACAACAACAAAAAAAAAAAACAATGAGAAGGAATGCTCCAGAATCCATCTGTATCTTTTTCCTCCAGGCCGCCCTGATCCTCCAACAGGGTTAAAGGTAGTAAGCACGACTCCATACTCCATGGGGCTGGAATGGAAGCCTGGCTTTGATGGGGGCCTGCCACAGAGGTTCCACATCAGGTGGGTCCCTGAAGAGGCAGGAAGAGGTGGCAGGAACAGGCTCAGGACCCGTCACCAAGTGTCCATCCTCCTCTCGTGCAGGTATGAGACTCTGGGGACACCAGGGTTCTTCTACTTGGATGTCCTGCCGCCTCAGGCCACGACCTTCACTTTGACGGGGCTGCAGCCTTCTACACGGTATCGGATCTGGCTGCTGGCTAGCAATGCGCTGGGGGAGAGTGTACTGGACAGCAAGGGGGCCAGGATCTCTGTCACCACCCCAGGTGAGAGGGGACACCTTGGGCAGTGTGGGATGATGACTTGCATTACTCTTCCTTCTCAGATGATTACAGTGCCCGCCAGAAGAGAGCTTATGCAAATTGTTGAAAGTCACACTGCTGAAAGGTGTTAGAGATGTGGCTGAAACTCAAGCAGATAAACTTCAGAGACCTGTTTTCAGCTGTTTAGCTATACCATCTGAGTGTAGTTAATACTAACTCTGAAATTAGCAAAGAGTTTGAAATGAACGTACATGAGACTATGAAAATCCAGGGGCAGCCGAAAGGATGCTTACAGGAAAGTTATATCTTAATTTATAACTGTTGTAGATAAGGAGAGGTATAAGTCTCTGCTGTGCGAGTGACATCAGACAGTTCTGGGTTCCTCTAGATTCAAGAGTGCAGAGAAGGGGGCCGGAGCGATAGTACAGTGGGTAGGGCATTTGCCTTGCATGCAGCCGACCCGGGTTTGATTCCCAGCATCCCATATGGTCCCCTGAGCACCGCCAGGAGTAATTCCTGAGTGCAGAACCAGGAGGAACCCCTGAGCATCTCTGGGTGTGACCCAAAAAGAAAAAACAAAACAAAACAAACAAACAAACAAAAAAAGATATCAGAGAAGGCCTGGAGAGGTAGTACAGTGATTAAACAAATAAGTTACAAAGAAGCAGAAGCTTACTGAGAGTAAAGATAGGAAGGACTCCAGAGGGTAAGGGCCATCAGAGAGTCTTAACAAAGTGTCTGCGAGGTAGGAATGATAGTACAGTGGGTAGGACACTTGGTTTGCATGAACATGATCAGGGTTTGATCCCCGACATCCTATATACTCCCGTGAGTCCCACCAGGAGTGACCCCTCAGCTCAGAGCTGGAGCAAGCCCTGAGCACTGCTGAGTGTGTCCCACCCCCCCAAAAAATAAAAATAAAACAGAAAAAAGCTTCTCTCTGATGTTTTTATACATTCTCCTCACAACAACACTAGCTTGGGACACTACTCCATGACTAATGATTCTACTGTCTTTTCTTTTCATTATTTTTCTTTCTTTCTTTTTTCTTTTTGGTGGGGAGGTGCCCCATCCTCCTGTGCTTGGGGCTTACTCCTGGCCCCTGCACTCAGAGATAACTCCTGGCAGGGCTTAGGGGATCCTATGGAGTTCTGGGGAATCTGCTTCATGCAAGTTAAGTGCCTTACCTGCTGTACTATCGCTCAGGCCTGCTAGTGGTTTTTTCCCCTTGATCTACAGACTGAGTCAGGATACCCCAACATGTGCAGATAGTATTTTGAGAGCAGGGGCTGACATTTCATTAATCTGCATTGCAGCTCTGGGCATATTTTACTTTGACTTTTAGCTGAGCCTTTCTGGAAGCTTGGCCTCTGCTAGTAGCTCAGGGAACTGGGAGTTGTTGACACTGTCTTTAGCCTTCAAGAATTGTTTACACTTTCTGGCCAAGGAAGACTGTTGACTCTTTCCCTGCCTTGGTCTGGGGAAGAAGTGTAAACAATGTCCCTGACTGCTCTGAGGAGTCATTTGCAGAGTGCACAAGATTTTAAGGTAGCAGAGTGATGAGTTTTAAGGTGGTTTAAGATGGAGAGTCTCTTGACAAGTGACAAAGAAAAAAACTGAGGAATCTTGTCATAACTATCACAAAGTGTTATCGTCAGCTTAAAAAATGGGGCTGAAGAAATAGTACAGGAGGCAGGGTGCTTGCCTTGAACGTGGCCAACCTGGGTTTGATTCCTGGCATTCCATATGGTCCCCCAAGCCCCGCCAGGAGTAATTCGTGAGTACAGAACCAGGAGTAGCCCCTAAGCATCACCCAGTGTGCCTCCCCATAAAGAAGGCCTCACATCTTATGCATAAAGTTCTAGGTTCCATCATAGGCATGCCCCCTATGGTCCCAACCCCCCCCCCCCCACTCCTCAGGAGAGGCCTCACATGAACTCTCTAAATTCACCTCACCCCACTTTTTTTGGTGGGGGGGGGGTCACGCTTGCTGTGCTCAGAGCTTACTCCTGCCTCTGTACTCCTGGTAGGGCTCAAGGGACCACATGGAGTGCGGGGAAACAAAACTGGGGTTTTTGTGACCAAGGCAAGAGCTCTACTCACTGCTCTAGTACCCTAAATTTTTCATTTGAGAGATGAGGAAGAGAAGGGCAAACTGAATCCAAAGTAAAGAGAAGGAAGTAGTAAAAGTAAGAATAGACTTTGCTAAATTGAGAAAGGAACAATAGAGAAACATCAATGAAACCAAAAGTGTTTAAAGAGCAATAAAATACATAAACCTTAATCGAGGCAAAGAGAGAAGATACCACTTAACTCCCATCAGAAATGAAAGTGGAACATGGTGACTAATCATGGAAAAGCTTTTATCCCAGTTAATTCAATAAGTATAATAAAATGGAAGTGGTTCTCGAATATGCTGAAAGGGGTGTTTGTTGTTTGGACTCTGACTGGCAGTCATTGCCAGTGTAGTGATGCGGTCTCTCTCTCTCTCTCTCTCTCTCTCTCTCTCTCTCTCTCTCTCTCTGTGTGTGTGTCTCTGTGTGTGTGTGTTTCTCTCTGTCTCTGCCTCTGTCTCTCTACCTCTGTCTCTGTCGCTCTCTCTCTCTCTCTCACACACACATAGGCACACACACACACAAGCGTACACACAACACATGCCCTGGCACAAGCTACCTACCTTCAAATCTCACTTTCACTTTGTCAAGTCATCTGTGTGAAACCTAAGGCAAGTGATTGAATATCTTTGAGCCTCAGGTTCTTTCTTTTCTTTTTTCTTTTTGGGCCCCACCCAGAAGTGCTCTGGACCTACTCCTGGCTCTGCCCTCAGGGATCATTCCTAATGGGGCTCAGGGAACTAAAAGTGGTGCGATTGGATCTAGGTCAGCAATTGTCTTTCCTCTGTACTGCCTCTTCAGCCCCTGAGCCTGGAATTCTAAGAATAAGGTTGATCTCATGCCTCTTGGGCCTCTGTGAGAAACCTGGATGGTTGTGAAGATTCAATTAGTTAATGAATGTGAAGCACTTAGAACACTTAGCCTCGCCTCACAGAAGTGGAAGCGTTTTCTCTCCCTTCCCCTGCACAGCCTTCCTGGTCCTACACACTTCTCTCCCCTTTGGTTTTTCCCATTCCAGTCTTCTTTGTAAGCATTGAAGCATAAAGCGCTACGCTCACTTCCCTCACTCTGGAATTGACACCTCTGTGATCTTAAGAGCCCAGCATCTTTTTTAAAAATCATTAACTCTGGGGCTGGAGCAATAGCACAGCGGGTAGTGCGTTTGCCTTGCACGCGGCCGACCCGGGTTCTATTCCCAGTATCCCACATGGTCCCCTAAGCACCGCCAGGAGTAATTCCTAAGTGCAGAACCAGGAGTAACCCCTGAGCATTGCTGGGTGTAACCTCCCCCCCCCCCAAAAAAAATCATTAACTCCTAAAACTGACAATTTTGGTTAAAAAGGATCTTGCACACACAAAGTTCTAATCAATAATTAATAAAAATAGAAGCTATTATTACTTATTAGCATTCAAATGACTACTAGGGGCAAGAGAGATAGTACAGGGATTAAAGTGCTACCTTTCATGCAGATCTTGGTTCAATCCTCAGCACCACATTCGGTTCCCAGACCACCACCAGGAGTGACCCCTGACTACAGAGCCGGGTGTAGTCCCTGAGCACCATTGGGTATGGCTCCCAAAGTAACAAAAATATAGAGTATTGATAATATTGCCATTACCACCATCAATTTCTAGCTCTTTCATATTCCTAAAATACCATAAATTCTTTCACCTGAATTTCAAAACGGGTTGAAAAGCTTAATAGGAGACTGAGAAATACTGAGGGTTTACCCCCGATTCTTTTTTGTTTTGGGACCACACCGTGTGGTGCTCAGGACTTATTCCTGGCTCTGAGGGGCTCAGAGGACCATACAGGATGCTGGGGATCAAACCCAAGTTGGACAAATGCCCTACTCACTGTACCATCTCTTTGGCTCCATATCCCATGTTTTTAATATTAATTCTCAATCTCTATATTCATTTCTCCTCCTAGGTCTAGAGCAACCTTCTGGAGAACCAGACTCCCAAATGCCCACAGAGCAGCCATCAGGCAAGTCTTTCATCCCCATGACCCCTTCCTTCTCTGAGAAGGGAACTTCCGGTCTCCAACCCTGTCCTCCTCTACCTGGGTTAACCCAGCAGGTGTAAGAGCAATCGAGCCCTGTAGGCACTCTCTGTCCCTGTAAGCCATCACCCATAGGAGTTTCCTCTTGCCTGCATATGATTCATTTTCTCTTTTCTCAATTTAATTGAATTCTGAGAGAATTAGCAGATTCCATGTCCTGTCTTGAGCCTGTATGTGTTAGTGTCTGCTGCATAATAAATCAACATAGGGACTGGAGCAATAGTACAGCGGGTAGGGTATTTGCTTTGCACACGGCTGACCTGGGTTCGATCCCCAACATCCCATATGGTCCCCTGAGCACCGCCAGGAGCAATTCCTGAGTGCAGAGCCAGGAGTAACCCCTGAGTATCGACAGGTGTGACCCAAAAAGGAAAAAAAAATCAACACAGACTTGGCACTTAGAGCAACAAGCTTTATTTCCTACGGTTCTCTGACTGGCTGGGCAGTTCCCATCTGGGCTATGGTGAGTGAGCAACTGGCCAGGACTGGCTGTTCAAGAAGGCCTCCTCCTCTTCACGTATCCAGCAACTGGCTTTTGGAGAGGAGATGGACACACGCTTCTCTTTGGCTTGCTCTCGTGGAGGTGGTCATGGGGTCCCAAGAGCAGCAAGAAAGTAACGCCCAATTTCCAAACACATTTCAAGCTTCTGGTTCCATCACATTTGTGGTGGCCAGAATGGCTGGAGCAGGTCATATGACTGGAGTCGGAATCCTGTGGGAGAAGTGGGCCAGACTGCACACTCTCCCCTCAGAGCAGGAAGAAAGGTCATGGGCCAGCTCTTGTCAGCAATAAAAAACTATTGGGAGGCTCCATTGAAACCCCCAAGGGTGGCTGGAGTCAGGCACCCAGAATGTTCCCCAAGGATCTGTTTCTTACCACTTTCAACATGGCTTTAATTTCTGGTGGTTTCTCCTCAGATTCTTCCAGCATCAGGACAAGGAAGTGTCCCCAAACCTCTGGCTCTCTCTCTCCATTTCTTAGCGGCTAGCAGAGGCCTGTTCTATATGGTCAGGAAAAATTCTATGTGGGGTCAAATTGCTGATCTCTGAACCAATCCCTGTGGGCAAAGGGAGGGTAGTCCAACCAATCCCAGGCTGGGCCACGGGTGCGAGTCATACAGACTTTGAGTGGGGACTGGCTCTACCTTCAAAGTTAACAGTCTCTGGGACTGGAGTCATAGCCCAGCGGGTAGGGCGTTTGCCTTGCACGTTGCCGACCTGGGTTCGATTCCCAGCATCCCATATGGTCCCCTGAGCACTGTCAGAAGTAATTCCTGAGTACATGAGCCAGGAGTAACCCCTGCGCATTGCCAGGTGTAGTCCAAAAAGAAAAAAAAAAGTTAACAGTCTCTGAACCTCAAACATGAATGTTTTGTAACTGTAGCTCATGGTGATTCAATATTTTTATTTTTATTAATAAAAATAAAATTGGTTGGAGCGATAGCACAGTGGTAGGGCATTTGCCTTGCATGCAGCCAACATGGCCGACCCGAGTTCGATTCCTCCGCCCCTCTCGGAGAGCCCGGCAAGCTACCGAGAGTATCTCGCCCGCACGGCAGAGCCTGGCAAGCTCCCCGTGACGTACTCAATATGCCAAACACAGTAACAACAAAAGTCTCCAATGAAGACGTTACTGGGCCCACTCGAGCAAATCGATGAACAACGGGAGGACAGTGACAGTGACAAAAATAATAAATAATTTTTTTTAAAGTTAACACAGTTTGGGAAAATGGATGCTGAGCAGCTCTCTTATAGGCGCTTATCTTCAGGGTATGGCTGAAAAATATCAAGCGCTGGAAGCTTGTGCAAAGAATTAGTCATTCGAGATGAAGTTTGCTGGGATTAATAGAAGTTGGCCTGACAACGTCTTTCTCGAGACTCAGGAGGGACAAGCCATTTAAGGGCAGACCTAGGCCATCCCAAGGCTCAGCGGTGTGGCTTTGCCTCGGTGATTCTGGGTACAATTGTGTGTTCGTTTGTGTGACCAAAAGCTGCAACACCAGGGTCCCTGGTTGATGGGCAAATCTGGAGGTGGAAGAAGAAACGGATTCGGAATGTCTTGACCAACCTGGCTGCAGAGCTGCAGTTTCCGCCTGAGCTTGGGGAACAGCTGCTGCTCGCAGAGAAGGGCGCCCCTGCTGGGGGAGTGAAGGAAAACGTGGATCCTTCACTTCCTGGGCTCTGGAGGAGACGCTTGGGGAGGGTCAGGCTCTCAAGCTGTGCAGAGCTGAGTTGAGTTACTTGTGTGAGGTTCACCTCGGGGGTCCCCTGTCATCCCCAGGACCCTCGGCGCTGCCTCTGCTGCCTGTGCTGTTCGCAGTTGGGGGTCTTCTGCTGATCTCCAACGTTTCCTGTGTGGGGGGATACCTCTGGCAGCGGAGACTAAGGCGCCTTGCTGAGAGTGAGAGAAACTTCCCTGTCAGGCTGGAGGCCCCCCAGCATTGAGGTGGTGGGGGGCTGCTTCATAGGGAGGGCATCGTTCCAGGTGGGCTGGAGGCTGATGGGGCCCTCACCTTCCTTTCCGCTGTTTTCCTCAGGCATCTCAGAGAAGACAGAGACTGGGTGAGTTGGAATATTTTCCAGTAACAAAGGCCCTGGGGAGGCACGGGGGTCAGAGGTCAACACCCAACTGTGCTCCTTTCTCCACCCCAAGGACGGAGGAGGAGCGGGTCAGGAACGAGTATGAGGAGAGTCAGGCCACTGGTGACCGGGACACACGCAGCTCCACGGTGAGTGGGGGCTCGTGACGGGGCAGGCCTGTCACAGCCCAACTTGGAAACTATGGCGTCAGAAGATGGCCAGCCTTTATCTGTTTAATTTGTGTGTGTGGTAGGTCAGCACGACAGATACAGTGGAACCATATTACAACTCTATGAAGTACTTCAGCCCCCAGCTGCCCCCCATGCCGGAGGAGGTGTCTTACGGCCGAGGTGACTGTGACCTCTACAGAACCCCCTGACTCAAGACCCCTTCACCCATGATGCCTGCTCACTCCTTTCTTCTACTCCAACTACAGGTTTCTTGGGTCATGAGGAGGAGTTCATGGCCTTTCCTGGGCACCTGTATGATGAGGTGGAAAGACAATATCCCCCACCTGGGGCCTGGGGACCCCTCTATGATGAAGTCCAGATGGTGAGATCTGTGTTTGCAGAAATATTACCTGCCATTTCTGATGTCAGTGAGAGTTAGCTTGCACTGTAGCTAAGAGGCCTGGCTTAAATCCTGTCACCTATAGAACAGATGCATCTTTCTCACATAAGAAGTAAATATTAGGGACCGGAGAGATAGTATAGCAGATAGGGCATTTGCCTTGCACATGATCGACCCGGGTTTGATCCCCAGCATCCCATATGGTCCCCGAAGCACCGTCAGGAGTAATTCCTGAGTGCAGAACCAGGAGTAACCCCTGAGCATCGCTGGATGTGGCCCAAAAAGGAAAAAAAAAGTAATTATTAGGGGCCTGGAGAGAGAGTACAGTTGGTAGGGAGGTTGCCTTCACATGGCTGATTTGAGTTTGATACCTGGCGCTCCATATGGCCCCCCAGGTCCTGCCATGAGTGGTTCCAGGGCACAGAGCCAGGAGGAAGTCTTGAGCAATACCTAGTGTGCTCCCCCCCAAAAAGCGATTATTATACTTGGTTATTCTAGAACCTATGAGTTCTGTTGTGTTCCTCTGCCATCCCTAAGCTTACTGTCCCAGTTAACTGGGAGGTGGGAGGCTAAACTGGTGGGGAAGGGAAGGAATGTCGAGTGCTAACCCTGCTCTTTCCCCTGGTGCTGACATGCAAAGGACACAGCAGTTTGCGCCTCACTATGATTCTGATACCGTGGCAGAAGGAAACTATGCGTTTCATTGGATCCTTGGATCATTAGCCATCTCCATTATACTGGTTAAGCAGTACCCTCCCTCCCCACCTCACTGAAAACTCAAGGGATAGAATTCAGTCTGGATCCATAATTATTCCTAAGGATGTACTTATCACATCTAGAATTGTATTCTTTTTTGTTTGTTTGTTTTGTTTTTGCCCTTTTTTGTGGTTACACCCGGCGATGCACAAGGGTTACTCCTTGCTCTACACTCAGGAATTACTCCTAGTGGTGCTCAGGGACCATATGGGATGCTGGGAATTGAACCCGGGTTAGCCAGGTCAAAGGCAAACACCCTACTTGCTGTGCTATTGCTCCAGCCCCAAGGATTGTATTCTTATTAAAATAAAATCCTTGAAAGAAAGAGACTGGGGCTGGGGAAGACAGCTCAAAGGGCTGGAGTGCAGACTTTGCATGGGAGAACCCCAGCACTACATAATCCCCCAGGAGCACTGCCAAGAACAACCCCCAAGCACTACTGGGTGTGGTCCCCAAACCAAAAAATAAAGAAAAGAAAGGAAAGGAAAGGACAAGAAAAGAAAAGAAAAGAAAAGAAAAGAAAAGAAAGAAGAAAGAGAATATCTTTTTCTCCCTATAGCTCCAAAGCCCTGACCTGGATGATTATTGGTCTAGCTGGGCTCAAATGCTCACTGCTGAATCCAACACTGAGGCAGTGAAAGAAATCTGTTAACTGGACTGGTCTGGATGATTGTCAACCTATAGAACTAATGTTGGGGGAACCCTAACAAGTATCCACGAGTGGAAAGACCACAGGGAAATGAAGATGGTGGCTACGCAGCCAAAAAAAAACAGGTCAATAACTAATGTCCATCTCCAGCTTAGGTCCCACACTAAGGGAAGTGGAACAGAGCCCCTTTCTTTTTTTTAAATTTATTTCTTATTTTTTAATGAATCACCGTGAGGTACAGTTACAGACTTACAAACTTCCGTGCTTGTGTTTCAGTCATACAATGATCAAGTACCCATTCCTTCACCAGTGCCCATTTCCCACCACCAATGTTCCCAGTATTCCTCCCACCATCCCCCCCCCCCATCCTCCCCACCCTACCTCACCTCTGTGGCAGGGCATTCCCTTTTGCTCTCTCTCTTCTTTTGGGTGTTGTGGTTTGCAATAGAGGTATTGAGTGGCCATCATTTGGTCTATAGTCTACTTTCAGCATGCATCTCCCATTCCAAGCAGGCCCTCCAAGCACCCTTTACTTGGTGGTCCCTTCTGTATCTGAGCTGCCTTTTCCCCCAGCATGTGAGACCAGAGCCCCTAACTTTCTGTGTGGCCTTGGTTTGTGCTCTGGCATCTTTGGGTAGAAGAATTCCCTCTGAAGCATAGTCTCCAATGGGACACTGTGGGTAAGGGAAGGATCCTTCCCTTGCCAGCAGCCGGGAAGAAGCCAGTGGCGAGCGCTGTCCATGGTGCTGGACCAGCTTGTGTCCACAAGCACCCTGCACACTTCCTGTAAACGACGAGATACATAGGTTTTGCTGGTCGTGCTTTCTCTTTTATTTTCTTCCCCTTTTTGGAGGGGGGGGGGGGGTGCGGGTGTGACAACATGTATTAGAACTCCATGTTATTCCAAACTCTATTCTTGGGGGTTACTCCCAGCCATGCTCAGGGGGATCATGCTTGGGGTTGAACCTGGGCCTCCTCCATGCCATCACTGAATGATCTCTCTGGGCCTCATGTTATCTCTCTAAAAATGACCCCACTCTGGGGCTGGAGCGATAGCACAGCGGATAGAGCGTTTGCCTTGCACGCAGCCGACCAGGTTCGAATCCCAGTATCCCATACGGTCCTCCGAGCACCGCCAGGGGTAATTCCTGAGTGCATGAGCTAGGAGTAACCCCTATGCATTGCCAGGTGTGACCCGAAAAGCAAAATAAAAAAAAGACTCCCCTCTATTCTTGAGGAGTAAGAGCCAACATAGACAATAAGAAACTTCATTTGGGGAAGGTCAGGGGTAGGGCTCAGGGGGTAGAACATAGGCCTCACACAATAGGAGTCATGATACGAGTGGATTCCAGTCATCTTACTCTTAGTATTTTATGGAATTTTCCCATGACTAAAATATAAAAATTTGGGGCTGGAGCGATAGCACAGCGGGTAGGGCATTTGCCTTGCACGCAGCCAACATGGCCGACCCAGGTTCTATTCCCAGAATCCCATATGGTCCCCTGAGCACCGCCAGGAGTAATTCCTGAGTGCATGAGCCAGGAGTAACCCCTGAGCATCGCCAGGTGTGACCCAAAAAGCAAATAAATAAATAAATAAATAAAAATATAAAAATTTTATCTGGGGGAAGTGGAGCAGAGTGGGCACAATGGTCACAGGGCATCTCTATTCCCACTTTTGCCTGTCAGCAAAATGACCCCCGCTGGTATGGGGACAAGTATGAGGACCCAAGAGGAATCTACGATCAGGTGGCTGGAGACTTGGAGCCTTTGGAACCTGGTTCTCTGCCCTTTGAGCTGCGAGGACATCTGGTATGAGAGCCTCTCAACGCCCTTTCCTCACACCTGCAAGACAGAGTATTCCCATAAGACGCTGTGATGGGCATTGATATTGTAAATGGCATGAGGCAATTTTGAGATGGAAATCTTCTCTAGCATTGTTGGTGGTTACGTGAGTGTGTAGTTTTGTGAAAACCCACTGAACTATACAATTAACAGGGGTTTTGATAAATTATAGCTCATAAGGGTGATTTTAAAAACAGAATCCAAAAATAAGATAATTCTTATTCTTTATGTTAAATAGCAGGAAAATATAATAGAGGGCTGGAGAGATTGTACAGAGGGTAAGACATTTGCTTTGTACACGACCGACCTGAGTTTTATCCCTGGCATCCCACATGGTCCCCTGAGTCCACCAGGAGTGACCCCTGACATAGAGCCAGGAGTAATCCCTGAGCACACCTAGGTATGGCCCCCAAATCAAGAAACAACAAATATTAAAAATATGGCTATTTCTATGGAGTATAGAGTATGAGTATAGGTCTTTATTTAGGCCTTCTGCTTGATTAGTCATATTATTAAAATTGCTTAGTTCTAGTCAAACAAAACACTGTCCTCCCGTTGTTTATCAATTTTGCTTGAGCGAGCCCAGTAATGTCTCCATTTTGAGACTTCTTGTTACTGTGTTTGGCATATCGAATACAAATACATCACGGGTAGCTTGCCAGACTTTGCCTTGCAGGCAAGATACTCTTGGTAGCTTGCTGGGCTCGCCGAAAGGGGCAGAGGAATCGAACCCGGCTCTGCTGGGCTGACTGCATGCAAGGCAAACGCCCTACCACTGTGCTATCGCTCCAGTCAACTAGACTTATTTTGGCAGTCATTTCACAATAGATATAAGTGTTGAATTTTTATGCTAGACACCTGAAACTAATATGTTTAATGCCAATTATTCCTCAATAAAAATCACTGTATCATTGTATCACTGTCATCCTGTTGTTCATTGATTTGCTCGAGCAGGCACCAGTAACATCTCCATTTGTCCCTGTCATGTGCTAGTGTAGCCTTATGGTGTATTGGGGGCTCTTTCAGGGTCAGGGGAATGAGGACCATCATTTGTTACTGTTTTTGGCATATCGAGTACGCCATGGGTAGCTTGCCAGGCTCTGCTGTGCGGGCGGGATACTCTCGGTAGCTTGCTGGGCTCTCTGAGAGGGATGGAGAGAAAAAAAATGACCTAATTCAAATATTTGTCCATATATATTTTTTACCAGAGCAGACTGAAAGTTTTATTCACAGTATATAAATACACAAATGCATTAGGGTCCAAATGATTTTCCTTTAATTAAACATGATTCTGTTCCTAAGTGTAGAATTTTTCTAATTGTGTGTTTATCCTTTCCAAGAAAGAAAGCTACAACTCTCTGCTTTCAAGTGGGTTAAGCAGGAAAGGTGGATTTATTGCTCTTACAGCTGCTGGGCCAGCGTGGCATTGACTTTTACTGGAGATAATACTGAAACAAAACCATCTGGGGTCTATCTCTGTGTCTCTTGGCTCCACTTCTCTTCATATTGACTTAATTCTCAAGCAGATTCTGCATTTGGGAGATAAAGATGATGACTTAGAGATCCTGACTGGCATTCCACAAACGCAGCAGCTAGAGGGCCTCATTAAAAATTTAATTAAAGTTTTTTTTTAGCCATCATGATATACTACAACACTGTTCATGATGGGTGTCATGCAGACAGGGCCCCCAAACCACACTCTCCACCATTGTCTCAGGTAACGCCACCTCCTGAGCTTACCCTGCTGTGGTAAGCTCAGTTCTATAGACAGAACCTGAGGTTCTATCGTCTTTAGTTATTTGCTATGCCCTTCCTATGTTCCTTTATACCCCCCATCTGAGGACCTCTTTTGACAATAGTTTTTTTTTAGCTCTTTTTGGGCAATGTACAGGGGTTACTCCTGGTTTTGCACTCAGGAATTACTCCTGGCAGTACTCAGGGATCATATGGGATGCTGGGAATCAAACCCGAGTTGGCTGCGTGCAAAGCAAATGCTCTACCCGCTATACTATCACTCCAGCCCTGAGGATCTCTTTTGACAATAGTTTTGATCAATCTTGGGACAGTGTTCCGTCAGTCCCACTTGGCTTTTATGCCCTGAGCCAATCACTGTAACGAGGGAACAAATTATCCATTGATAATCTATTTGTTTTTTTTTCTTTTTTTTTTTTTTGGTAGGCGGCACACCTGACAGTGCTTGGGGGTAACTCCTGGTTGTGCTCAAGGATCATGCCTGGCAGGCTCTGGGGACCGTGGGGATCACTGTGGATCTAACCTAAGTCAGCTTTATGCTAGGCAAGCATCCTGCCCTCTGTATTATCTCTCTGGTCCCTCCTTTGATAATTTGATAACCCTCACACTGGGTTATTCGGCACCACATGACCCACTGGGCAAGGATCTCGAGAGGAACTCCACTGACTCTGAGATAGGGTCTCTTAATTTACTTCCTATTTCTTCCTTGCCACTGTCTGAGTAAATGTAGTGGAGATATACTGCTCCTGTCTAACCGTCATCCAGTTCCTCTTACACTACAGATATGGATAAAGAATGAGATCAGTTCCTGATGACCTCAAATCCTGCATCAAAGCTGCATCAGAGTGTCTCCTGGACTATAAATTTCCCTTCCTCCTGACCTCAGTCAGAGCGCTACCCTCACTTGGTTGAGATCATAATCAATCCTCTCCATTAATTGAATTTAAAGGGTCCTTTAATTAATTGGCACTGAAATATATAACTCGCTAGGGAGTAGAAACTCAAACTAGTAGCGCTAAAAAATTCACAATTTAAAATTTAATGCATATGTCTATATTAATAATTAGTATAATTATTCATTTTTTTTAAATCACGTGAATGCTTTCAAGGGCATTTTCAACTGTTCAGCGCCCGGACAATCCAGCATTCCTGGTCCCTGACTATTCCTTAAGTGGCAGCTCATTCCTAAATAATTATGGAATTTTCAATGCACCCGCCAGGGGGCGCTACCACTCTTTGTGAGAAGAACAGACCTTGCCGGTGATGTGAGTGTGCCTGAATCTGGCTGTATACTGGGATCTGGAGCTCAAGAACAGGTCTGTCAGTGCCAGAGGTCGGGGAGAGGGGGCAAGAGAGACAGTGCAAGTGTTAAGTCCCTCGCTTGGCAGGCTGCTAACCCTTATTTGGTCCTTAGCACTGCATATACTTCCGAGTATACGAAGTGGCCCTAGAGCTTCAAGGCTCAGAAGCACACAGTTGGGAGGGATTTCCTCAAGACTTTCAGGTGAGTTAACAGTTATGGCTGGAGTGCTAGGAATCCCAACTAATGAGTGGGCTAAGGAGAAATGTTGTGGTGTTTATATGTAATAAGAAGTCCTTGAGGGCTCGGGATATACTCAAAAGGCAGAGAACAAGGCTTGCATATATGAGTCCTGGGTACAATCTCTGCCACCCCCATCCCCCTGCCAGGTCCTCCCACCCCATCACTTGTGGGAGTGGCCTAATGCTGGTGTGGCTCGCACAACAATATTTTACTATTATATTTTCTTGGTTGGGGGCCACACCCACCAGTGCTCAGGGCTTATTCCCAGCTCTCTAGTCAGGGACCACTGCTGGTGGGGGATTAGGGAAGGGGAACATATGTATCAGGCATAGAACCTGGGTCAGCTGCGTGCAAAGCAAGTACTTTACCTGCTGTACTATCTCTCCAGCCCTGCACACCATTGTGTGTGTGTGTGTGTGTGTGTGTGTGTGTGTGTGTGTGTCACACTCGGCAATGCTCAGGGGTTACTCCTGGCTCTGTATTCAGGAATTACTCCTGGCGGTACTGGGGGACCATATGGGATGCCAGGGATTGAATCTGGGTTGGCTGTGTGCAAGGCAAATGCCCTACCCACTGTACTATCGCTCCAGCACCCCCTGCACACCATGTTTTAAAAGTCATTGGATAGAGACAACAGCAGACTGACAGTATTTATGAGCTATTTCTACAAATTAGTCCCAATTCTAAGGTTTCTGTGGGGTGTGTGTGTGTGTGTGTGTGTGTGTGTGTCCTTTTGATGTTGATCTGCCTCGACCTAGTATGATGGCAATGTCTTGCATTTTGCTTTGTTTTTATTTTGGCCACTGTGATTTACAATAGGATTCCATGCAAATATTCCAATCCCGTACTCTCTACCAGAGTGACCATTCCCTCCACCATTATCTCAGGGGCCCCCTTGAAGCCCCCACGATGCCCCTTATTCCACCCCCCCCACCCCATCTCCCTGCCACGGTAAGCTCAGTTGCATAGATCAGTTCTCAGCTTCTGTTGCCTTTGGCCATTTGTTATTCCCCTATTATGTCCCCCCAATCTTTGTTTTTTGGGCCATATTTCCCGGTGCTCAAGGTTTATTCCTGGCTCTGCACTCAAGGTTCACTCCTGATGGGACTCAGAGGACCATATGTGATGCCTGGGATCAGGATAGCTGTGTGCAGGGCAAGTGCCCTACCTGCTGTACTAGCACTTGGGCCACACCTACTATACTTCTTTATATACCACAGGTGAGAGGTCATTCTGTCTCTGTCCTTCTCATTCTGGCTGACTTCACTTAGCATGACACCCTTCAGGTCCATCCATGTAGTGGAAATTTGCATGCTTTTGTATTTCTTACAGCCAGGTAATATTCCATTGTGTATATGTGTATCATAGTTTCTTTATCCTGTCATCGGTTCTTAGATACTGTTTCCAGATTTCTACATCATGAATAGTGCTATAGTGAACATAGGAATGCTAATGTCTTTCTCAAAATACAGTTTTTGGTGCCCAGAAGTGAAATTGCTGGGTCATATGAAAGCACAATTCTTGGTTTTTGAGACATGTTCATATTGTTCTCTAAAAACATTGAACCGGCGCATATGCTGCCTGAGCCCTTGTGCTGCTTGTGCCCATGTGGCTGAGCACATGTGATCTGAGCACATGTGTCGCCCATATCTCCCCTCTTGAGATGTGTACTTTCATGCTTTTCTGTCTAATGCTAGGATGTGTGTAGGGGCTCTCTCTCTGCCCTTGGAGAAGCCCGTGTTCTCTCTTGAGAACGTTACTTTCTCTCT